TATATAAACCAAATGTAAACTATAAAACAAATTTCAGAAATTTTTAATGGACAATTATTCTCTCAGCTTTATGGATAATGAGGGCATATACACTTTGACACGGTTAAAATGGTTCTAGATCCATGTTTCTTTGGATCAAATTTGTTTCAGAAAATGTCGATTTCATCCAAACTTTGGCCATCGTTCAAACTTAGTTCAAGTTCGAAGATGGGGAACCTCGGTCCACTCCTTCTTGTACCTTCCACACAGGGGCTAGGTCTAAATACGGGTTATAGTTCATATATAGTTCATTATCGAACCGTACGTTCTAGTTTTTTATCTCGATATCCTTCGCATGTTAAATGATCACAACAGAGTGTTAGAACCAAATCAAAAACGCGGAAAAAACAGATAATTATATTAATATAAAAATGGGGTTATATGGGGACTACGCCTAAAAGGGGTTGACTATTAATAATTTTTGGTAGGGAGATTTGTTTCCACATATGGCTACAAAATACCAAAATTCAGCGATTTCGATTGAAAAACGCGCTCAAGAACCTCCAAATGCCGAAATTTGGGGGTACCTTTATATGGGGGCTAACAGAAAAAAATTGACTTATATTTATAATTTTTAGCGGAAATATTTGGTACCAAATAAGAACCCAATATACCAAATTTCAGCGAATTCGGTTGAAAAACGCGGTCAAGAACCCCAAAATACCAAAATTTGGGGGTACCCTTATATGGGGGCTACCAGAAAAATGGACTTATATTTATAATTTTTAGTGGAGATATTTGGTACCCAATAAGAACCCAATATACCAAATTTCAGCGAATTAGGTTTAAAAAGAACCTCAAAATACCGAAAATTGGGGGTACCCTTAAATGGGGGGCTACCAGAAAAAATGGACCTATATTCATAATTTTTTGTGGAGTGATTTGGAACCTATTTAGAACTCACAGTATTAAATTACAGCCAATTTGGTGGAAAAATACGACCAAAACCCCCAAAATACTGAAAATTAGGAAGTACCGTTATATGGGGGCTACCAGAAAAAGTGGACCTATATTTATAATTTTTTGTGGCGACATTTAGTACCCAATAAGAACCCAATGTACCAAATTTCAGCGAATTCGGTTTAAAAACGCGCTCAAGAACCCCAAAATTCCGAAAATTTGGGGGTACCCTTATATGGGAGCTATGCCGATATATCCCATCTTCGAACTTGACCTGCCTGCAGACAAAAGACAACCCTATGCAAAATATCAGCACCCTATCTAAATTCCTTCGGAAGATAGCGTGATTACAACAGACGCACGGACGGACGGACATGACTAGATCGTCTTAGAATTTTACCCTCATCAAGAATATATATATACTTTATAGGGTCGGAAATGAATATTTCGGTGAGTTACAAACGGAATGACAAAATTAATATACCCTCTATACTATGGTGGAGGGTATAAAAACGAAATTCTGTCGCGTAGCCGGTGTTTGTACCTGTCCATAGGAGAATGTCTGAAATCCCCGACAGAAGGCCAACCATCCAAAAAACTATTCCCCCAAAAAAAACCTATTACGGCTACGCGAAAGAATTTCCTTGTTTTTGTAGGTTTCTAAGGACCATATGTTTTGATCCACAATAGATACAGATACATATCGCCCTTTTTGGGAAGGGCTCACCCAAAAAAGCCTATTTTAAAGTAGATTCTGTAGGTATCTTAGAGAATGTCTTAAATCCCCGATCAATCCGACAATGGTATTATAGCTTTGCGGCCCAAGAGTTTGTAACACCACGAAATATTGGTCATACTAATTGAGTCGATATAGATATGTGTGTCCGGTCGGCGGCCTGTCTGTCCATTATAATTTGTAAACATGATACTGGTCATAGTTATGGACCAATCGTTACGAAATTTTTCATGCAGGACAGGTTCTAACAAAAGAAACCACCTATTTTTTGTAATGATCGGTTAATATTTATGGACCAAAAGGAATGGGCCAAAATCTGTATTTTTGTCTGTGTTTTCTGGTCGGTCTAGAGGCTATAGTCACGAAATTTTACACAGAAAAAGAGATCTGACCAAGGAACTGGCATGGTTCTTTTCATGATAATCGGTCAATAATTATTTATTTTTTTTGTGTTGAAAATTACAGCATTTTTATACATTTACTTCTGAAGGACATAGACCCGAGAATTTGGTTGTATATTCAGAGTAGTGGTTGACCTTTAAATTGACACGAATTTTATTGATGGATGAGTAGTTATGTGCAATATTTAAGGAGTATAAGTTTTCTGAAATAGTTTGGTAGAACTATTACCACACTAGATGGCGGAAATGTAGCGCTAGGACATTTTGCATGAGGTTCCGGGAGAGGATAATTTTTATTAATGAACAGATGATATTTCGGGAAGAATTGGACCGAAAACCTTTTTGTCTGGTTTTTTAGTCGCCCAAGTGCCAATTATATGGCGAATATCACAACATGAGTATTTTTTTTTTTACTCCGGGAAAACATGATTCTGAAAAGATGCCACAAATGAGCTATTGACATCTAATCAGTCAAGAAAGTGCAAATATCGCGAAATACTACCCTGGCATGGAATAAAGACCCTCAGAATGTTAGAAATTCGTAGTAGTTGTGTAGGGTATAATATCGTCGTCCCCATCCGACTATACTCATCCATTCACTGGTTTCATAGATGTAGATCGATATACAGGTTTCTAAAAGTGGAAAATGAATATTTCATATTCCTAGAATATTTCCTATTCCTTTGCACAATATTTGATCGAAAAATATCTCGCGTTGTGGTATTCAAGAAAGTTAGAATGAAAAATGCCAAGAAGGAATCGGGGTAGAAGATTGATATGTTTCCAAAAATTTTCCTCATCCGATTAGACAGAAGACATGTCATCTCAAAGTTTATTTTTGAGATGAAGAATTTATAAAGCGTTTTCATCGTGAAATTTATAGTTCACAGAAAAAATCATCAAAATCATTACTCGAAAACTGGAATTATGGCGTATACATAAGAGGTGCTCCAAGTATTATTTCTTAGCCTTATAAAGCCTTAATTAATGTTCCTCTCTAATGATTTTGGATGAAAATCTACCGAAAGGAATTAACTGAATCTCCATCGTTTTTACGAAATCTTAATACGCCTTTTTCTGTACTTAATTAGGTTAAACAAATTACCAATATCGAACGGAAATATATATCGGAGATATAATTAAATCAGAATTGATTCCAACAAAACTTAATACTCGTCAGTCTAGGCTGAACTTAGAAAGCTGTACAAAATATCGATGGGCCGCTGGTTCAGAATCGTGAAATTGGACGAAAATAAATATAAATCAGAACCGATTTGCTCCAGTTGCAGTATGTTCGTCCAAAATAAATGAGATGTGCTAAATTTTATATGAGAGGCAGACAAACGGACGGACATATTTGTCGTATTTTACCTATCCTTTTAATTCCCCTACTATATATCTCCGCATTGCATGAAAAATAGTTTCCGATTTTCTTACCCTATCAGTTGCCGAAAGATATATACCCTCAGTCTATGGTTTGCGGAGGTCTTCGGAATTACGCACTGGATTTATTATTCGCTTTATATAAGGTATTTTCTTATTAAAGAGGTTTCAAATTTAATGTGGATCAAATCGGTTATTCAATACGCTTCAATTCAATTAAATTTACAAGTTTATAAAATATTAATGGGTGAGAATATTTGTGGGTGAGAATATTTGTGGGTGAGAATATTTGTGGGTGAGAAACCAGAAGGAGTGGGCCGACGGGTCCCATTTTCGGACTTGATCAAGGTTTGGTAAATATAATAGGTTGTCCATGGGTTGGTTCAAATCGGGCATTCTTTTCGTCTAATATTGGATTAATAAATATTGAAAATGATGACAATTTGTGGGGGAAGTGCCAGAAGTAGTGGACCAATGGTTGAACTAAGTTTGAAGGAAACATTACGATGTGCAAAGTTTGGATAAAATCGGTTACTCCCTTTGAGAGTTATCGTTGGCACCAGCCAACTAGACAAACGGACGGACATTTGTAAATCGACTACAAATTGTTTGAAACGGATTTGGTAAAAAGAAACATGGTGTGGATCTAAATCCAATATTTCGATGAGGCACATTTTTCCGTACCAAAGTGTACATACCCTAATTAGCCATAAGACTGAGGGTATAAAAAGATATATCATGATTAGACCAAAATATATTAAAAATAAAGAAATATTCCTCTTCTCAATCACTCCACACATATTGTAATATATTGTGTATCTTCGAGAACTTTTAATCCTTTTTTTGAAATTCAAACATTTTCAAAATCTCTTTCCCCACTGTTCTATGCAAAACAAAACTTAAATCAGCAAACTTAAATTAATTCACGCTCCTGCATTGACTTTGATAAGTTCGTTTAAAAATGAAATTACAATCTATGCTATCTAATTTGGCAATCCTTTTAATGCACACACAACAGGAATACATTTCCACACACACACACACACACACACATGCATACACTACTACAAACTATCAAAAATAACGAAACACCCGCATCGGGTGTAAATGATATGAAAGACGATAACGGTAATAGCATAGTAGTTCCTTCGTTGACAGGAAAAACGCAAACACACGCATACACAAGTATAAAAGACGAATGCCACCCAACCAGCCAGTCATAGCAGACTAAACAAACGACTAACAACGATGCAATTCTATGGTCAGTATGCATTTGGCAGACGGCCGGTGTGGTAGTGTTACGCATACACAGAAAGAGAGAAAGACAGAATTAGACCGGATACGGAATACAGAGCATATACACACAAGAATTTATTTCGCATAAATTCACCCACATACCCAGCCACCCAAGACCCACACTCATTGACTCAACAATAGCCGACGAAACAGAACAACTGCGGTGTATCTCGTACAGTAAATTCATTTTAAATAAATTAATGTTGCATACCTTTGGGAGTAATAAAAAAATATTAATATTCTTTTTTCGTTCGTTTTCTCTTTTGTTTTTGTCGTTTCAGGGCTGCTGCTGATGGCTTAAAAATGGGTCTAAGCAATAATGATGATGCTATGAACAAAATTCCTCTCAAGTCAGGAGTCGATGATGAAGAGAAAAATGGCGGTGAATTTATACATGATACAGCGACAGCGGAAGAGGCGAGACGAGAGCAGAGGTATGTATTTATGAGTGTAGCTGAATATCAAAGATTTCCACAGAGCACTCATGGTCATAAGTGTTGGCGTTAAGTGTAGTGTTTTTTTGTTTTGTTTATTAGAATAAGAAGACATGTGCTTGAATTTGTGTATAGAGTGAAAATATGGAAAATGTTTAAAAAGTGTTATTAGGAGTTGTTGAGAAATAATACAAAGTGTTATTGTTTTAATGATTATCTAGATCCGACACAGTGCGGAATGGTTAGTGTGAAAGAAAGGTGTTGAAAGATAAAATGACGATGATAACATTCGAATATCGGATTCTTGTCTTTGAAGACCATATAAAGTTCACGGTTCATGAAAACAAAGATGAACCAGTAAGGAAAGTAGTAAAGTCGGACTGGGCCAACTATATGATACCCACCACTTTGGGTATATAATTATCCTGTCTTATTATGTCTTTCTGTAAACAAAAAATTTAATTTCATTCGGGCAAATTTAAACTCGTCTGCGTACCATGGTACAATTTTATGGAAAACGATTTATAGCACAATTGATACACACTATTCGGCCTCACTGTTAACAATTTAATCACAGTCAGACACTATGGCCGCATCTGCACCAATTTCAACAAAACGCAATAACGTCATTCAAGTCTCAATTTGATATGCAAAATTTCATGTTAATCGGACAAACAGTAGGCGTTTGGTGCACCATTTATATAAAATTGGACGAATATATATATATGGGCAATATTGCCAATTTTTTAATATTCCATTTTCAAAAAATCGACTTTTTTGTTTTTGTGGCACATCAATGATTTTTGGTACACATATAGAGAAAAATGTTCTGACTCCGAAACCGTTCGCGATCAAATTTTTGGTTGATGCGCGCAAAAGTTATCAAGGTTTTAATTTTGGGCATAAGAAAAAAATCTTAAAATTACGCCGTTTATTATATTGACCAAAAACGTTGATATATATCTTCCTCCGTAAAATAAGAATATGAATATATTATAATAATCACGGTAAAGTTGCACATATTCGCGAAATATGAGAAAAATAAAAAAAAATATAGCAGATTACATCAATATTTTCATTATATTAATGACATACACACACCTAAAAATTTAAAAATTTAATTTAAAAATATCTACATAATCTAAAGACCACGATGAATCAAATGATATCAAAATCACACAAGTCCGTGTAGCGGTTTCTAAATCACAGCGACAACAAAACAAGATATTGAGGAAAAAATATTTGTTTTTGGTTCGAAAAAATAATGTCATCATATTTATTTTTTAATTTTATACAAGAAATTTCAGAAAAAAATGTTTGGGTTATTCTGCTGTTTTACCCGAATTTCGCACAAAAATTTACATACTTAAAAATAATCACATTTGGTGTATAAGTATACACCTTGTGGATTGTAGCAAGACCCTTCCGATAAATCTTGGGGTTCTATAAATAGGAATAAATCTTAAAATAAAATAATATTATGAAATATACATTTTAAATTGCGTGTAAATCGCGTAATTCTCAAAATCATTTGATGCGCATGCGGTTTCCAGGAAGTACTGAAGTTTATCTTCCAATCCATATATATTTTGCGAAATTTCATTTGACGGCTAAGATGTGCCACACGTTGCATTGAAGTACCCAAAAAATCGTAAAACGCGAATAATTTCCGAAAACTCCATATGCCATTAACGCGCATCCGATTTCGGTGTGCACCCTAAACAAATACATCGATCTATACCGATTTCAATGTGGTCCATTAAGAACCATGGATGTGCCAGCTCACACTATTTTTGAGATAAATTGGGTACATCTCTCTTTCGGCTGAAGTTTTTAAAGGTCTCTTTTCGAAAAAGATCAAAATCCGTATGAGGTCATTTATTGAAACGGAAATGATCTACAGAAAACGAAATTAAATCCGCGATGTTTTCAAAAACATGTTTTGCCAAATTTCGTGTTTTTGGAAGGCCAGTTCCCGCCGTTCTAGTAGATGGATTTTCACGAAGAAGATTTTATATCATCCGAAACGTAAAAAACCTTATTGATCGCGGGTACCCATGTCATTCAGTTGACAGATCTAAAAATTTGGCCCGAAAAATAGGTTTTTTAGAAATTTGATCGCACAAAATTCGCACCTTCGGATGAGTATTACTCTGAAGCTGTGCATACTACATACACAAAATACATATCAAATTACGCAGATTCGCGACTACAATAATCTTATAATCGATTTTTATAAATTCCTGTTTGCGTATTAAAGCTAGAAGTAAAATTAAAAAAACACTCAAAATCGAGCTTCAAAATGTCAGCATCATTTAAAGGTAGATGCAGTGAAAATTTTGAAAAATGATACATAAGGGGCGTAGTCCCCATTTTGTTGGCTTCTAGTTTTATTTTGACACGAAGACCGTGCAATGAGTGGCTTAGTCACAAATCGATAGAGAACATAAAAAAACTGGTTCGCCTCAACCTGATTTTACACATTTTTTTACATTAAAGTAGACACAGCTTCCACCAAAACAAAGTTTGGAGGTCAATATCATGAACAGTTTGCAACGACAGATCAATTAACCCAAAACTATTCACTTTTTTCATACACTTAAGTAGTTCCCGAGTTACAAAGGGGTGAACCTCCGCTTCAGCTATGTTAAAAAATTGGCAATATTTCCCATATATATGTATATGTGGGAAATTTGAACCCATTTTCCCGAAACTTACCACTCATCATTCTAGACTCAATACATTGGTGCACCATTTACATTAAATCAGACGAAAATATATGTGGGAGCTATATATAAATCTGAGACGATTTTCACGAATCTTAACAAACATCACTCTTGACTTCGTTCAGTACGCTATGCCAAATTTCTGGCAAATCCAAGGATATATAGCGATTTTGGTGCACCATTGACCTAAAATTGGACGAAAATATAAATGGGAGCTATATCTAAATCTGAACCGATTTTCACGAAATTTAACACACCTCGTTCTAGACCAAATTCAGTACGCTGTGCCAAATTTCGCAAATGGAAGGATATAAAGAAACTTTGGTGCACAATTTACATTAAATCGGACAAAAATATATAAGGGAGCTATATCTAAATCGGAGCCGATTTTCACGAAACTTAACACACATCACTCTAGCCTTCATTCAGAACGCTATGTCAAATTTCGTGCAAATCGAAAGATATATAGGAACTTTGGTACATCATTTACATAAAATCGAACGAAAATATATATGGGAGCAATATCGAAATCTGAACTGATTTTCCCGAAACTTACCAATCATCATTCTGGACTCAAGTCAGTACACTATGCCAAAATTCGTGTAAATCGAAGAATATAAATGGACCTAAAATCGGACGAAAATATATATGGAAGCTATATCTACATCTGAACCGATTTTTCAATTCAATAGGAGTCGTCCTTGAGGCAAATAAATGAGCTGTGCCAAATTTCATCGAATTCTAATCAAAAATGCGACCTAATCAAAAATGGACAGAAAGACGGACGGACATTCATAAATCGACTTAAAAAGTGATTCTATGCACATTCACAAAAGGAACCATTGGTCTATCTCGATTCCTTTTGCCTGTTACAAACATATGAACCAAGACATATTACACTGTACCACAGTGTGGTGGAGGGTATAAAAATTGGATGAAACACATTTCCTAGTAAGCTAACGATGTGATACCATACACAACTGCAGTGGGTTTCGATAAGAGGTGCTATTTAAATATTCGAAGAAAACGGGATATAGGAGTTCTCGATGACCAATTCTCATCACCTCTTGGAGAGATATTACGGCCCGGAACCTTCTTTCAGTAAGGGAATACAAATCCAACCATAAAATGTTATTAAACCTATTTCCATCCAATCTTATTTTCGAAAAACAATTTTACGCATTTCCCGGACAAATCAGCAAAGGCGCCACATTGTTGATTAGCAACCGGTTTGAGTAATTGTTTTAACTGACGATTATAAGACTTTGTGCATAATACGGGGTGAGGATGTTGGTAAAATGTCAAAAAACAAGACAACACTTGGACAAAATATTAAAATTATAAATTTTATTAAAATTATAAATTTATTAAAATTATTATATATTAAAAAATTGTTTCAGTCACTAAAAATGTTTGAGTCAAGACATGACATCAACATTTTTATAAACTACATTGGATTATAAATTAAATTATATTGTTACCAGGTCTGCGGGAGTCTACGTGTCGATTTCGGGCAATTTTAATATTCACATCTCCATTAATATACTAAAAATCTCGAAAACTAAATCCGATTTGTAATTCAATGAATTCCGTTTGAAATTCGAATTATTATAATCGGCATTCATTCGACATCCATATGGAGTTTAGCTCTGCGTGACCCAAAGTTTGTAACACGGCGAAATATTGGTCCCAGACCCACATTTGAGTATATCGATCGTCATATCGACTAGCTGAGTTTGTCTGTCCTTTGTAAATTGTAAACACAAAACAAAGGCTGTAGGTATGGACCAATCGACACGAAAGGTTTAATGTGGGTTCGGATCGGTCCAAAGCAGACCCTTCTGTTTTTGTCAATGGTCGATTCATATTTAGGTTGTGAAATAAACCTAACACATTTTGTTTGTATGTTTTTTCTTGTAGCTCTAGAGAATATCACGAAATTTTACACAGAGATAGGGATCTGATGAAGAAATAAGCATTTCCTGATAATCGGTCAATATTTAGCGGGTTAAATGAACCCCGACTTTTGTGTGAAAATTGGGTATATATTTAGTCCTGAAGGGCATAGATCGGAGAAGTTGGTTACATATCCAAGAGGAGTGGTTGACCTTAAAATTAATACCAATTATGTTCCGGTTTTGGTCAAGTGCGATGGTATAAATCGTTGATTATCGTTTTTGTTTGGTTTTCTAGCCGCTCAAGAGGCCACAGATAAGCCAAAGATAACAAATTTTAAACTTCAATATTAGGTTGGGGAAAAAGAAATCCATTGATTTTTTTTTTTGGTGTATAGGGTTCAAAACAGTTATGGTCGATTTTTAGCTCCTAGAATTTCTTATGAAATCCTCAATTTTCAACTCGAATGTCAAGAATTAAAAATTATATTCTAGAATGTCACAGAAATCCTTAAAATTTCGTATCACGTTGGCAATATTAAATACATATTTTTTACTATTAAACCTAAGTCTGTTTTTACACGGTAGATTGGTTCCAGAAGAAGCCGTGTAAAAAAGACATTGATCTTAATTCCTCTAAATTAGGGCTATTCACATTTGCTTTGACCAGTAAAAATTGTTTGTACGCGCTAAAGGGGAATTCACTTAAATCTTTAAGCTAGTGTTCGCAAACTAGCGATACTATCGATGGTTTCAGACTTTTTTCTTTCATAAATATTTTTTGTGATATGAACATACTTCGCAAAAATTAAATTTGACAAAAAATTTAAGTACATAGAATTTCAAATCGTGCTAAATGGAATAAAATCGTGTAAAAAATTAAAAATATTCAATTTTCAAACCGTGTTATATCAAACCGTGTACAAAAGGACCGTGTAAAAACAGACTTAGGTGTATTGATAAAACTATGACAATATTTATGAACTTCACTGTACTAAGTAACATGTGTTGTCTACTTTCAGGCGGGTAAAGTTGCTGAATTTAATGAAAAAATTGACCATCGGCATCATATGTTTCATTGGTATTGCCTTAATTAGTTATGTTATCATCAGTTTATGTTTTAGTGGTAAGTAACGAAAACACATTCAATATTATTTAAATTTTATTAAAAAATTTTTACTAAAGAAATGGAAACTTGTTGTATGGCCATTTTCGTCAAAATAATTTTATAAAAAAATTGGTGAAAATGACAATAAAGCGAATAGCTACACATGTTTTTATTTTCTACCAAAAAAAAAGAATATGAAATATTTGCACTGTTTCAAAATGACAACTGACACCTTTCTTGTTTTTTCTCTCTGTTCTTTTTTCTTCACGTTTGTTTTTCTGTGTTGTTGCCTTTATGCCGAAAATGCTTTACAATAATGCACACGAAAAAAATAATGCAAAACCAAAAAAAAAACGACAACAACAATAACTAAATTGTTCCCAAACAAAAATAATATAATAACTAATGTCAATATCCTTGAAAAAACATCCTCCTCTTTTGTGTTTTGTTTTCACACGTTTGTTTTTTATTGCTCCAAATATTTTTTTGTGTGTTCTCATTTTTTGTGTTGACAACATGTTATTCTTGCGCTTGTTATCTTTGCTGGCGGCGGCGGCGATGTGTTCCACTCCCTGTCTGCTTTTGTGTTTCTTTTTGCATTTCCTGCTTTCCCTTTTCTTTTGCTCTTTGCTCTGTCTTCGTTAATGTAGAATGGCCCAAGTCGGGAACAATGCCAACAGCATCAACACTCACAAAACGAACAAATACATCAACAACAACAACTAGGACTACAACAAGAGAACAAGAAACACCTCCTACAAACACACATACCACAACGAGTTTGAGCAAAAGCAATCCCACCAATTATCCAAACCTGCCCCAAACTTTATCTACTTCCACTCTCGAAAGCACTACCACCACCACCTCCAATACAATTGAAACCGCAGCAAATTTAAGCGCCACAGTTACAGCCAGCACCACAACCACCACTCCTCTCTTAACTACTACAATAACAAGTACAGCAACAACAACAATAGCGAGAGATACAGATAGCCCCCCACTTCCACCCACAGCTAGTCCTTTACTAAGTTTACCCACAACCTTTAACTCTTCTCTTTTGTCAGATGATAATAGCAATACTAATGGCCCCGCAGTAGCATCCACAACATCAACAAGTCCTTTAGATAATGGCAGCAATGGCAGCGACAGCAGCAGCAACAATCAAATATTGTCAGCCTCCATATTGGGTGCGGGTGGCGTTGCCACACCAACAACAGCGTTGCCACCATCCTCACAACAGCCAACAACAGGTGCCAGTGTCACAAGTGGTACTACAACACCAGCAGCAGCAACAACAGCCGAGAAGGATGCGGCTACTGTCGTTGAGAGTAGTGACGACGATGGCAAGGTGACAACTGAAGTGACAGACAATTCCCTGCTCAAGGATGAACCAATTCTTGAAAAGAATTTCACCTCAAATTTGGGCGTTTATGAAAAGGCAGCTGTTTGTTCCGATAAACCTGTATGCAGTCAAATTGGCAGGTGAGTGAGAGTGAATGATAGAAGAGGTGGTAAAATTTTGTAATTTAATCGTTGAAGACAATGGCTAAGTTTTGAGTCTATTATTTGTTTTGGCAATTAGATTATGGCAGTTTAATATCTCCTTTGAACACATGGTAGTCAATTTTAATTGAATCAATTAAATACTGAAGCAAGTCAGGATAGAATATGTCTCCTTAAAGAGCAGTTTGTTTGAAATATATTTTTTCAAGGTCTACAATTAGGCGTGGGTTTAAAAAACTTCAAGGCCTACCATTAGGCGTGGATTTTTTAAACGTCTACCATAAGGCGTGGATTTTTTAAACGTCTACCATAAGGCGTGGATTTTTTAAAAGTCTACCATAAGGCGTGGATTTTTTAAACGTCTACCATAAGGCGTGGATTTTTTAAAAGTCTACCATTAGGCGTGGACTTTTTTAAAGTCTACCATTTGGCATGCATTTTTTAAAAGTCTACCATTTGGCATGCATTTTTTAAAAGTCTACCATTTGTCGTGGATTTTTTAAAGTCTACCATTAGTCGTGAATTTTTTTAAAGCCGACCATTAGGCGTGGATTTTTTGAAATTATAATTTTTCAAGATCTATCCTAAGGCGTAGATTTTTAAAATATAATTTTCAATGTCTTTTCTGAGGCGTATTTTTTTAATATATGTTTTTTAAGGTCTATCCTGAGGCGTAGATTTTTAAAATATAAATTTCAAGGTCTATCCTAAGGCGTAGTTTTTTAAAATATAATTTTCAAGGTCTATCCTGAGGCGTAGATTTTTAAAATATATTTTTCAAGGTCTATCCTGAGGCCTAGATTTTTGAAATATAATTTTCAAGGTCTATTCTGAAGCGTAGTTTTTTAAAATACAGTGTTCAAAGTCTACGATTTTTAAAATATACATTTTCAAGGTCTATAGATTTTTAAAATATAATTATCAAGGTCTAACCTGAGGCGTAGATTTTTAAAATATAATTTTCAAGGTCTATCCTGAGGCGTAGATATTTAAAATATAATTTTCAAGGTCTATCCTTAGGCGTAAATTTTTAAAATATAATTTTCAAGGTCTATCCTGAGGCGTAGATTTTTAAAATATAATTTTCAAGGTCTATCCTGAGGCGTAGATTTTTAAAATATAATTTTCAAGGTCTATCCTGAGGCGTAGATTTTTAAAATATAATTTTCAAGGTCTATCCTGAGGCGTAGATTTTTAAAATATATAAAATATATAATTTTCAAGGTCTATCCTGAGGCGTAGAAGTTTAAATGAAAAATTTGTGTGGTCTATCTTAAGGCGTAGAAGTTTAAATGAACAATTTGTGTGGTCTATCTTAAGGCGTAGACGTTTAAATGATAATTTTTGAGGTCTATCTTAAGATGTAGATATTTAAATTATAATGTTCGAGGTCTATCTTAAGGCGTAGAAGTTTAAATGATAACTTTTTGAGGTTTATCTTAAGGTGTAGATGTTTAAATTATAATTTTTTAAGGTCTATCTTAAGGCGTAGATGTTGATGATGATTTTTAAATAATATTGATATAAAAAATTCCATCTCTCCATTTCAGCAACATCTTGAAGGATGGCGGTAGTGCTGTCGATTCAGCAATTGCCACCCTACTCTGTAACGGTATTGTGACAATGCACAGCATGGGTATTGGCGGTGGTATGTTAATGAATATTTACATCAAAGAAGACAAGCAAGCCTATTCGGTAGATGGCCGTGAAGTGGCACCCTTTGCTGTGCATGATGATAAATTCAGCAACGTAGACAGTAATGATCTATTGCATGGTCCCCTATCGATTGCCGTGCCCGGTGAATTGATGGGCTATCATAGGGCCCATGAGAAATTTGGTAAATTACCATGGAAGAAATTGGTGGAACCCTCACTGCAAATCTGTAAAGATGGTTTCTATGTTACCAAACACCAGTACAATGCCCTGGCCTATAAGGATAAGTACATGAGGAATAATACGATATTGAAGTAAGTTGGGAGGGAGGAGAGGAGAGGAGCTTTGGAAAATAAAAGGCCTCTAATAATATATGTTTGTTTACAGGAAAATGTTCTATAATGAAACAACCAATACCATCCATCCAATTGGCACCCGTATTCAACCCGCTGAGGAGTTATGTAATACCTATAAACTATTGGCCGAAAATGGTCCATATGATTTTTATAATGGCACATTGGCCAAAATGGTTGCCGAGGATCTACGAGATTTGGGAAGTTTGGTTGATTTTGCCGATTTGGAAATCTATCGTGCCGATTTGGTTAGCTCCGTTACCATGCAATTGGGTGATGATATTTTGTATGCCAATCCACCGATTAGTAGTGGTACTGTCGTGGCCAATATTTTGAGTATATTGGAAGGTTTTAATTTCTCAAGTATTGATGTGCAGGATACTAAAAATGAAGCCTTGACAATACATCGTATTACCGAAGCCATGAAATTTGGTTTTGCCAAGCGATGGGAATTGGGAGATGCCCGCTTCAATGATGTGAGAGATGTAAGTTTTGAAAATTCCTTTATCAGAAATCTGAATTCTTATTTTCCAATTCTAAAATCTAGTTGGTCAGCCGTTTAACAAATCCCGAAACTGGCAACGAAATGAGAAAGAAAATCAACGATAGCCACGTTTTAGAAAACATTGCCGAATATGGTGCCCAATTCTCTGGTGAAGATGATGTTGGAACTAGTGGTTTGGTAGTCCTAGCTCCCAATGGTGATGCTGTTTCAGTTACCAGTTCAGTTAATGATTAGTAAGTATTAAAATCTAAATTTTAAAAATATTTATTTTAATATTTTTTCTGATGTTTTAGCTTTGGTTCTGGTTTGGCTGGCAAGAGGACAGGCATCATATTCAACAGTGCCATGAATGATTTCTCATTGCCCGGTAAAAGTAATCTCTTTGCCTTACCACCATCTCCAACCAATTTTGTTGATGCCCAAAAGCGTCCGCTGTCATCGATGTCGCCCATGATTTTGGCCGACAGGGATGGCAATGTAAAACTGCTTGTGAGTGCTGCTGGTGGTTCGAAAATTATCTCAGCCCTGGTTGAGGTTATGGCTGGTGTTCTATGGATGGATCAAGATATTAAACAGGCTATTGATAGGCCAAGATATCACAATCAATTGTCACCAAATGTTTTGGAATATGAGAAGAGTGGACATTTTACGGAGGTAAGGAAATAAACGAAAAAAATAGACTTGGATTTTTTTAAAAATATTTTTTCAAGAATTAGGCATGGGCTTATTATTTTTTTTCAAGAATTATGCGTGGACTTATTAAATTTTTTTTCAAGAACTAGAATTTGGGGGAGAATTTTTTTAAAAAATTTTTTCAAGGACTAGAATTAGACGAGGATTTTTATACCCTACACAACTATGTTGTGAGAGTATTATAGCTTTATGCTGGAGCCAGAAATATTGGTCCTTGACCCACCTTTAAGTATACCAATCATATCTCGACTAAGTGAGTCGATCTAGACATGTGTGTCCGTCCGTCAGTGCATTATAATTTGTAAACGCGATACAGGCCATAGTTATGGACCAATCTTCACGACATTTTGTATGTAGGATAGGTTCTGGCTAATGAAGACCCCTATTGTTTTTGGTAAAGATCGGTTAATATTTAAGGGAATAAATGGACCAAAAACTTTACTTTTGTCTGATTTTCTGGTCGCTCCAGAGGCCGCAATTATGGCCCAAACATGGAGAATCGGATCGGGCCCAAGAATAAACATGCATGTTTTGATAAATATTGCTCAATATTTATCGGCTCAAATGGACCCTGACTTTTGTGTAAAAAATGACAAAATTTGTATTCCAAGGCGTATATATTTACCCTTGAAGGACATAGACCCGAGAAGTTGATATACTACCAAGAGGATATTCCGTGGTATCCAAATTGTTATTTTATTGCGTAAATGTTCGCCTCGGAAAAACAAGTTTTGAAAAGTATGCCAGGGTAGAAAGTGGAGCAGTTGACCTATAATGAAACCAAGAGAGTGGAAATATCGGCCTGGCTCGGAATATAGATCCGCAGAAACATGGACTTCAGTGGTGGTTGTGTAGGGTATCATATGATCGGCCCCGTCCGACTATACTACTCCGCTCACTGGTTTTAATTTTGAACCGGATTCAACACTGATTTATGCAAAAATGGGCGAATCATATTTGTCCATAGCGCCCAAGTTTTGGTATAGGCCTGAAAATTAGAATTACAAAATAAGCATTCAAATACTTAAATTCGGCAGGGAAGGGTCTTGTCAAAATATGGAACCTTTTTTTAAAAACATCGATCAACATTTTCTGTTAGGAGGTCTTTCACCATCTAAAAGCCTCAAATGGCAAGTGATAACCAGTTATCCCTTTTATAAAAATGGGGCTTCTAAAAAAATTGTTGAAAATCCAAACTACATACACTCAGGATAGAAAACTGGGATAGAAACTTCAACATTCCGAAAATGCAATTGTCTCATTGACTATTAAACAAATGGACCTATATTGACAGATTTATGGGTTGAAGGTTTTATTTTACAGGAATCCGAAATACCAAATCGGTCTGGGAATGTCAAAATATGGGAGATATATCAAACCATTGACCTATATTTTCCGCCAGAAGGACTTCCACCTTCCAAAAACACCCAATGACAAGTGACAGCCGGATATATTGCAAATACCATTGATATCATAAAAAACTTAAAATCATGAACTTATAAAAAAATCCTCACTTAGGATAGAAAACTTGGCTAGGAAATTTAATATACCGAAAATTAACCGGTTATTGAAATATCTTTGGGACGACATTTCTAATTTCTAGGAGTCCGAAATGCAAATTATACCACCTTGGGGCGGAACTTATATATGAGGGTTATGTATACGATTGAAAAGGGTCTACCAAAAATTGACGGAACCTGTGGAAGCTATGTCAAAACATGAACCTTTATTGAACAGTTTCTGCAACAAATATCAATCACCCTCCCGAATCGAATGCCAAATTATACAAAAATATGTGTAAATATGATTTTTACGCTCTAAGTGCCAAAATACAGAAACTTCGGTGGGAAAATGTGGATAAACCTTCTCAATTCTGAAAATTCTGAATTCTGAATATCGCAAATCCAAGAGGAGTAGTTGGTCTTTAAATTGCAACAAATTATATTGTCGAATGTACTCGGATGTGGGAGTTACACTTAAATATTTACAGGTGCTTACGTATTCAACACGTATTAACAACACTAGAGGACGAAAATGTAGCGGTGATCGCTTTGAAATTTTCCACGAGGATCCAGGTATGGTCACGGACAACGCCTATAATTTTCGATGATGATAAGATAATAATATTGGGATGAAGTGAACCGATAACATAATTTTGTGTTTTTTTTCGAGTCGATCTATAGACCATAAGCCGAACATCACAACACAATCCACGGTGAATGTAACCAGGATTAGTAATTAGAAGAGTTTTACTGAATATTGAGAATATTCGGAAAATATGTCAGTGTAAGAAAGAGATGCTGTTGACCTCTAATCGGGCAAGAGAGTGCAACTATCACCAAATATTGGCCAGGCTCGGAAAAAATCCGCAGAATCCGTATGGTCGGCCCCGTCCGACTACACTGCTCCGCTCACTGGTTAAATAATATTTTTCAAGCTCTGTTATAATGCGTTGATTTTTAAATAATATTTCTCAAGCCCTATTATAAGGCGTGGATTTTTAAATAATATTTTTCGAGCCCTATTATAAGGCGTGGATTTTTAAATAATATTTTTCGAGCCCTATTATAAGGCGTGGATTTTTAAATAATATTTTTCGAGCCCTATTATAAGGCGTGGATTTTTAAATAATATTTTCGAGCCCTATTATAAGGCGTGGATTTTTAAATAATATTTTTCGAGCCATATTATAAGGCGTGGATTTTTAAATAATATTTTTCGAGCCCTATTATAAGGCGTGGATTTTTAAATAATATTTTTCGAGGACTATTATAAGGCGTGGATTTTTAAATAATATTTTTCGAGCCCTATTATAAGGCGTGGATTTTTAAATAATATTTTTCGAGCCCTATTATAAGGCGTGGATTTTTAAATAATAACTTCTCAAGACCTATTTTTTAAACGATATTTTTCAAGGCCTATTACATTTTAAAATAATAATATTAAATTTTTAAATAATATTAATTTTAAATATTAATATTAAATTCCTTTTTGTTCCAGGAACTTGTAAAACTGCTCACCGAAAGAGGACATCAGGTGAAACCCTTCAACTACACTGGATCAGTGGTATGTGGCATTGTTAAAAATGCTACAGCGATTTATGCAAATGCCGATTACCGTAAACAAGGCGGTGTTGTTGGCTTCTAAATGATACCAAATACAAGAAATACACACAACAAAATGAAAACACATAATAATAATATAATTCGAAACGAAAGGAAATTGAAAATAACCCACAACAACAACAAGAAAAACAACAAAATCTCAATTAAATGTGCTTTATATTTAATAAAGGAATTTTGAAAATCAAGAGAAACAATTTTTTTAGTATTTAAAAACTTGGAATAACAACTTTACAAACATTTTTTTGTAACAAATATTTGAGATAACTCCAAATCAAACAATTTCGAAATTTATCTATACAGAAATAAGAAAACAAAAATATATACACTCATCTTATATATTTTGTATAGTATAAGCATATTAAATAAATAAAAAAAAAACAGAAAACCAATTGAATTGAAAAATAAAGCTGAAGAATAACAATAATAATTTATCTTTTTTGATAGGTTTAAAAAAATAATAATACACAAATTGTATTACAAAAGAAGTATTAAAATAATAAAGATAGAAAAATGAAATCAAAACACTCCCCGCAAAAGAAATACATATTAAAACCCAAACACATACATAGATTACAAAAAAATAAAGCTTTTTATACATCTTTTATGATTGTGTCGAATTTCGATTAAATCCATAACAACTTGAAGTATTCTCTCTATCTACTCTAAACTATTATTGATCTTACTACTAAACTATTACTCAATATTTATTATTATATATTGTAATAATTAATTGTTTATTTTTTTTTATTTTATACAATGACTAGTTCGTTCTCTCGTCGAATATTACTATAAATATATATTTTTGTATGTAAATGATAATGTTTTTTGATACATGTCCTTTTTTTAAATATTGTAAATTGTTATTTAATAAAAAAAATAATAATGATAATTATATACACAAATATGTATGTAAAAGTGTGTCTATTCCACCTTAATCTAACCCCCGCCTCCTCAACAAATGAATTTATTCAATAAATATGCATTTGAAAATCTGTTTATCTACACTCTGTCTATGAACATTACGACACACATACAACATGCATCCACACACATACAAAAGAAAATCAATAAATCAATTTTCCATAGTTTTATTTATATAATATCATGATGATAATGATAATTGTCTATATTTATGATAAATAAAATTTAAATTAAACAACAATAAATAAATGAGTATAATTTTTTTTTGTTCAAGGACTTTTTAATGGATATTTTTACATGGACTATTAGAAGGATATTTTTCCATGGTCTATAAGATCGCGTGGATGTTTTTAGAGAATAGCTTTTCCAAGGCTACCATAAGGCGTGGATTTTTTAAAGAATAGCTTTTCCAAGGTTACCATAAGGCGTGGAATTTTTAAGGAATAGCTTTTCCAAGGCTACCATAAGGCTTGGTTTTTTTAAAGAATAGCTTTTCCAAGGCTACCATAAGGCGTGGATTTTTTAAAGAATAGCTTTTCCAAGGCTACCATTAGGCGTGGATGTTTTAAAGAATAGCTTTTCCAAGGCTACATTTTTAAAGAATAGCTTATCCGTGGATTTTTTAAAGAATAGCTTTTCCAAGGCTACGTTTTTAAAGAATAGCTTTTCCGTGGATTTTTTAAAGAATAGCTTTTCCAAGGCTACGTTTTTAAAGAATAGATTTTCCGTGGATTTTTTAAAGAATAGCTTTTCCAAGGCTACCATAAATCGTGGATTTTTTAAAGAATAGCTTTTCCAAGACAACCATAAGGCGTGGATTTTTTTAAAGAATAGCTTTTCCAAGGCTACCATAAGGCGTGGATTTTTTTAAAGAATATTAAAGCCTTGTTTTTTAAAGAGGTGATTTTTCAATGCTGGATTTTTAAAAAGGCGTGGATGTAAAAAAATAGTTTTCAAGCCGTGTTTTTTTAAGTGTTGTTTTTAAAGCGTGTTTTTTAAGACGTTTATTAAAAAAGGAAGGCGAGTATTTAAAGAAATTAATGCGTCGTTTACAAAAAATATTTTCAAGACTTGGGTTTAAAAAATATGTGTTTTAAAGTCGTGTTTTTTAAAAAATATATATTTTTAAGGCGTGTTAAAAAAATTTTTAAGGCGTGGTTTTTAAAAAAATATAGTTTTAAGGCGTGTTTAAAAAAATATAGTTTTAAGGCGTGTTTAAAAAAAAATATGTATTTTTAAGTCGGGTTTTTTAAAAATATGTATTTTTAAGTTTTTTAAGGTGTGCTAAAAAATATAGTTGTAAGGCGTGTTTAAAAAAATATAGTTTTAAGGCGTGTTTAAAAAAATATAATTTTAAGGCGTGTTTAAAAAAATATAGTTTTAAGGCGTGTTTAAAAAAATATAGTTTTAAGGCGTGTTTAAAAAAATATAGTTTTAAGGCGTGTTTAAAAAAATATATTTTTTAAGGCGTGGATTTTTTTTATTTTTTTTCAATGCGTGGATTATTTCAAAAAAATATTATTTAAAAATAATTTTTTCAAATTTTTTTAAAAAGTATATTTTTTGGACTTGGATTTTTTTAAAAATATTTTTTAAAGGCGTGGATTTTTTAAATAAATAGTCTTTAAGACTTGGATTTTTTAAACATTTTGTTTTTGCAAAATAGTCAGGCTGAATCCCTGTTTGTTGTTTTTATAAAAAAGTGGGAAAGGTATGGTATTGTTTGTAAATGCCTTGTTAACCTCGAAGTGAGGCACCAGCGAGATTCTCATGCAGTTTATGTCGTTGGTCAGCTAAGTACTTCGCTTTGTTACAAGAGACATTTGGGTTTGAAAGGTTTTTTTGTATAGAAGCAATAAATAGCTTCTGGGGAGAATATTCCAACAACTGATGAGGATCAGTGGCGTGATCCGAAACTATAGTCTTCCCTGCCTTACCCCTCAGCAAACAATGCCATACATTCCCTACTAATAAATATTTGTTTTTTATAAAAACAACAAATTGAGATTCAGCCTGACTATTTTGCAAAAACAAAATACAAATGGTATCCCAAATAAACCGCCAACACTACTGAAATTTTTTAAAAATATTTTTTCAAGGCGTGAATTTTTATAAAAATATATTTTTTAAGATTTGGATTTTTTTTTAATATTTTTAAGACGTGGGTTTTTTTAAATTTTTTGTTTTACAAAATGTTGTTATATGGCGAGAAATTAAAAAAAACTTTAAAGTCTGTTATGGGCATGTCTTTGTTCATATGTTTATAACAGGCAAAAGTAAGCGAGATAGACACATGGTTCCTTTTTAGAATATGCATAGAATCACTTTCTAAGTCGATTTATGCATGTCCGTCCGTCTGTCTGACCATGTTAAATTGTGAACAAAGTACAGGTCGAATTGTATGAAATTTGAAACAGCTCATTTATTTGGCCCAAGGACGAACCCTATTGAAATTGGGAAAAATCGGTTTAGATATAGATATTCGTTAACACACATATATATATATATATTTTTTTTTTCGTCCGATTTAATGTAAATGGAGCACCAAAGTACCTATATATCTTTCGATTTGCACGAAATTTGGCATAGTGTACTAAATTAAGTCTAGAGTGATGTGTGTTAAGTTTCCTAAAAATCGGTTCAGATTTTGATATAGCTTGCATACATATTTTCGTCCGATATAAAGCAAATGGTGGACAAAGTTCCTATATATCCTTTGATTTGCACGAAATTTTGCATAACGTACTAAATTAAGTCTAAAGTGATGTGTGTTAAGTTTCGTAAAAATCGGTAAATAGTGCAACAAAGTCCCTATATATCCTTCAATTTGCACAAAATGTGGCATAGTGTACTGAATTAAGTCAAGAACGATGTATGGAGGGTTTCGGGAAAATCGGTTCAAATTTCGATTTACCTCCCACATATACCCACATATATTCGTCCAATTTTACATAAATAGTGCACCAAACTCCTAAAGTTTGTCCTATAACCAGGAAATTTTGCACAACGTATCAAATTGAGACTTGAATGACGTTATTGTGTTTTATTGAAATTGGTGCAGATGCAGCCATAGCTTACATACGTATTTCGAACGGGTGTCTGATTGAGATTACATTTTTAAAAGTGCGGCATACCAAATAGAGTGTATAAATTTTGCTATATATGGAAAACACATACATTTGGCCCGAATGAAATTAAATTTAGCATAGGTTGCAGAAAGGCATGAATATGTTCCTTCGAGGGAACATTGACATGCAATTGTAAGTATACATATGTACAATATACCTAAAGTGGTGAAGGGTATCATATAGTCGGTCTAGTCCGACTTTACTACTTTCCTTACTGGTTTAAAATATATTTTTTCGGCCCAGTCCGACATTACTACTTTCCTTACTGGTTTAAAATATATTTTGAAAGACTACCATAAGGCGTGTTTTTTAATATTTTTTAAAGACTGTTATAAGGCGTGAATTTTTTAAAGCAAAATATAATAAGGAGTGGATTTTTAAAGAATATTTTTTCAAGGACTATTACAAGGCGCGGGGGTTTTAAGTATATTTTCAAAGTACTATCAACACACCCACAAATACAAGAAACCGAATAGAATTAAAATTAAATGTTTTCAAACCGATTATATAGTGCAGTGTATATAATTTATAGAAAAGCTTTTTCATTACACTTTGACCATATACGCTGAAGTTTGTTTTAGTACTCAGTTGACAATTGAAAGCTCCATGCTGGCATTGCGCATGTCCTTATCTTTGCTAAAAATATTTTCATTTGACACAATAAAACTGACTGTGATAGTGTAAACATAAACAAGATTTGTTACTGCAAACAATTTTAAAATAAAATATAGCATTTAAATGTGGCTTAAATTCGTTTTAGGATTACTTCTAGCCTATCTATACTTTTTTGTATTCAATGACAAACAAGGTATTCAAAGATTGTAAATAATAAAGATTTAATTTCAACTTACCATCTCATTCTCCATTGTTACAGAATCACCTGCAAGAAAAGAAAAAACATGTAGTGCCGGTTGTGGTGGTGGAAGTGGTAGAAGCAATCGTATCGAAAGTAAATGGTTGATACCACCAAATGTAGAGGTACCACAGCCGCCATCCATGTCAACGTTGCATGTCTATTCGGATGCTGCTGTGTGTTCGGATAAAAGTGTCTGCAGTAATATTGGCAAAATGTTGTTACAGCAAGGAGGCAATGCCATGGATGCCGCCATTGGAACGCTACTCTGCAATGGCCTGGTGACAATGCAAAGTATGGGTTTAGGTGGTGGCGTAATAATGACTTATTATGAACGAGAAACACAAAAATCATTTAGCATCATGGGTAGAGAGCGAGCGCCACGTAATATTAAAGAAGAATTACTTAAAGACTATGAAACTTCCGAAAATTTGGCTCAATCTCCATTGGCGATTTGTATACCAGGAGAAGTGGCTGCGTATTATGAAGCCCATAGAAGATTTGGTTCATTACCATGGCAATATATAATGCAACCCACAACAGAATTGTGTCAAGAAGGTTATACGCTAACACGGCATCAACGTGATGCCTTGTTCCTGAACGAGCAGAGGGTCCGTAAAGATCCATTGCTTCGCTCAATGTTTGTCAATCCCACAAATCAACAATTTTATAGGGAAGGAAGTCATATTGATATACCTCAAGTATTGTGTTCAACATATAATCTGCTAATGGAAGAGGGTCCTTCAACATTTTATAATGGCAGCTTGGCGACATTAATTGTGGAAGATTTAAAGGAGATGGGCTCCGGCATAACCCTTGAAGATCTTAATGATTATCGAGCCGATATTCGTGATTCGTTAACAATTGAAATTGATGATTATTATTTACATGTGCCTTCACCGCCGGCAAGTGGTCATATCGTGGCTTTTGTAATGCAAATTTTAAAGCATTTTAAAGAGTCCTTTTTGGGTTTGCCGGATTTCAGAGCAGTGGATATACATCGTATTGTAGAATCATTGAAATATGGTTTTGTCAAGCGCTGGGATATTGATACAGAAGTGGATGAAGAGGTAGGATTATAATATTTTTGTATTTAAAACATAATTTATATATTTATTTACTTTTTAGATATTGAATAATCTTTTATCATTGGAATATGCCAAAAATATATCGCAAGTCCTTAGCGATGGAATGACTTTCGATGATCCCTCATATTATGGAGCAAATGTGGATTTAGTGCATACACCAGATTATGGAACAGCTCAAATTTCCGTTTTATCGCCGAACGGCGATGCAGTATCCGCTACAAGTTCCACTAATTATTAGTAAGTTTATAAAAGACAAAACTTTTATAAAAGACCTTGAGAAAATATTCTTTAAAAAATCCATGCCTTATAATAGACCTTGAGAAAATATTCATTAAAAAATCCATGCCTTATAATAGACCTTGAGAAAATATTCATTAAAAAATCCATGCCTTATAATAGACCTTGAGAAAATATTCATTAAAAAATCCATGCCTTATAATAGACCTTGAGAAATATTCATTAAAAAATCCATGCCTTATAATAGACCTTGAGAAAATATTCATTAAAAAATCCATGCCTTATAATAGACCTTGAGAAAATATTCATTAAAAAATCCATGCCTTATAATAGACCTTGAGAAAATATTCATTAAAAAATCCATGCCTTATAATAGACCTTGAGAAAATATTCATTAAAAAATCCATGCCTTATAATAGACCTTGAGAAATATTCATTAAAAAATCCATGCCTTATAATAGACCTTGAGAAAATATTCATTAAAAAATCCATGCCTTATAATAGACCTTGAGAAAATATTCTTTAAAAAATCCACGCCTTATAATAGACCTTGAGAAAATATTCTTTAAAAAATCCACGCCTTATAATTGACCTTGAGAAAATATTCTATAAAAAATCTACGCCTTTTATTGGTCCACGAAAAAAATATTCTTTAAGCAACAATTTTTTATTATTCTTCATTTTCAGTTTCGGCAGCGGTCGTATGGGTTCTAGAACGGGCATCCTGTTCAATAATGCCATGTCAGATTTCACCGTTGAGGGACTGAGAAATTATTTCAATTTACCAAATGTGCCAAATCGCAATCGTATAAAACCTCACTCGCAACCAATGTCTTCCATGGCTCCCCTCATTGTTACGCACAAAGAAAGTGGTGATGTTCGCCTCGTTACTGGAGCGGCAGGTGGTTCTCGTATCATCTCCACCTTAGTACAAATTCTTATACGTACACTTTGGATGGATAAAAATATTAAACAGGCTATCGATTTTGCCCGGTTTCATCATCAATTGTTACCAAATATTTTGGAATATGAATTCGGTATCTTACAGCAAATTGTTGAGGATTTAGAGAGTCGTGGCCATGCAACGGAAAGGGTGCGTCACAAAAATACTGCTGTTTGTGGTGTGGAGAAAGTCAAGGGTGCTGTACTGGCCAATGTGGACTATCGTAAAGAGGGTGGTGTGGACGGGTTTTAAAAGCAGGTAATTAAATGAGTTTGAGTTTCATTACATTTTGGTGTCGAAATGCAATTTAGGAAAATGTGAAATTCTCATTTGGAAAGTTAATTATGCCTTATTGTGTAAATTACATTTTGGAACATTAATTACTTTATATTGAAAACGTTTTACCTTATTTAAGCATTTGAAATGCAATTTTAACATTAGTTTACTTCGGTCAGATCCAGCGATAAGTACATATCTGGTCTTCTAGAATGCCTTATGGAAATAAAACACCAAATCAACCTCCCCGACCGGGTTATCTTTCTCGTTTCTTTGTGTATTACCTTAACCAGTTAAAACTATTTTTAAGAAGTACCACTTTAAATGGTCTTAAATATTTGGCCTTTAAATATTTGACATTTTTTGAAAAGTAAGTACAATTTCTACATATTTTATTTAATATTTAATACAAAGAATTTTTGAAAAGTGGAAAGTCGATTTCGAATACACAGTTAAAGGTTTCGTTAAGATCTTCCGTGTTTAACTTTTTTACTCTCCACCATGAGGTGGGCCTTTAAAATACCTAAAATCGATCGGGACTTGTATATGGGGTTTATGTCATGGTATACAGCTGCCGGGAAAAATTTAATTACCAAAATACAGACACTCAGGTTGCCAAACAAGTCGCCTTCTTGTTAGCTTATTAAAAATATTTTTAAAAAATCCACGCCTTATTGTTGGCTCTTTAAAAATGCTGCCCATCTAAATATAAAATTGTGGTGGTTAACCGGATCTCTTCATCACCGACAGATTCCAATACAAGATATACAACTGAATTTCTATACAATCAAAATTACCTCTGCATATTGTTTCCTAAATCTAAAGAAATAGATGTGGGTGGCAAACATTCGCCTGCGATTCAAGATGTTCGCCTTCACAATAAATATCTTTTTTGTAGAAATGTTCTTGATGGTTAGCTGTGGGCTAAATTCTATTCAAAATAAAATTCCACTCGGGCTATAGCATGAACAAAATATATATCCTATTGTAAATGTTTGAAATTATCCGCGACGGGACCTTAAATTTGGATCTTTGTGAAACTAAGAAATAATCCCTTCCCATTAATAAAATCTTGGCTCCAAAAACTTTTCCAAACTATTTATATTTGAATTTGTTTGACAATTAGCTGTACAAATAAAAAAGAAAAAACTTTGAAACCATATGATTGTCACTTACACCTTATTTAATACACCTTGTTTAAATCCATGTTTAAATGACAATCTATCTATAAAAATCATATTAAATTCCTTATAGCTTTCGAATGGGTACATTAATTTGAGTTCCTACATCTAGATCAGATCCGTATAGACTAATTTAAAACCTCACGTTAGTCAAATTTTTTAATGAATTACAGAGCTATCTTTGGATGGGTACAAATGTACCACGGTTATTGATCTACGTATATTTTTTTGGTTATTGAATAATCAGAGTTGATTTCGAACACACAACTTTTTGTACTCTCCATTATGAGGTAGACATTTAAAATGCTTTAAATCGATAGGAACTTTTATATTGGAGCTAGGGATAAGTAAATCGACTTTTGATTTACTCAGTCAAAGGCAAAAATCGACAAGTCTCATAATTTCCCTTTTGGTCAGAGGCATAGATCAAAAAGTTAAAATATCGACTTTTGCGCTTGAAATTGCTACCGGAAGAAAATGTAATACCAAACTTCTTACACTCAGGTTTAATAAATGGTTAAGATCATGAATATACCGAATGAGAACTCAAAATATCAAATGAAAATCAAAATGAATCAGGTCAGAATATTCTACAAATATCTTTGCCATAATGTTTTACTACAAGTCTCAGAATAGACCAAAACCCAAAAATCGGCCTAAACGTGGAAAATCATGAAAAATATGGAAACTCTGTTTAGGGTAAAAGCCGATCTTATTCCGAGTTTGTACCATTTCTTCCACTATATGTCGTTTTCGGAGGATGGTGTAAAGGACAAACATATTCTCGGCCAAATTTTAGTATAATTCACTGAATAAGAGAAATCGGTATATTTAATATATATACCGAATATATAGAGATGTCCATTTAGTACAAAACAATTCAAAAATATGTGCAATTTTTTCATAGAAATTTCTAAGTACCGTTGAAAAAGGGTATGCAATTGTATGAAAGTAACATGAAACATAACTTTTGCTACTCAATGATACCAGATTACATTATACCCAATTCGATAGAAAATCGTGCCCAAAATACCGAACATTTTTATATGGAGACCTAATACGGTTATATCGAGGCTATACCAAAACCTGAACCGATTTATGCCTTTGTAATACATTTCAATAAAAAAATATACTTTATAGGGGTAATATTCCGAGGTGTTAGTGGAACTTTAAACACAAATTACAACAATTAACAAACATCATAAAGTTTGGTTTGAAAATGCAACCATTTGATGGGTTCTATGTCGAACAATGGTGATTTTCTGAAAGACTTTGCATTATTCCTTGAAAGCGCGAACAGCCAATTTTAGGAGGAAATTACGAAGGGATTGAAATACGAACAATCAGTCAGGCCGATATACGTACCAGTATACAGGGATGTATAGAGGATTTCCTTTTTGGGGGGCCCACTAGTGCAAAATGAATAAATATACATACATTTACTGTGGAAAAATATCAGTAAGGGGTGGTTGGTTCTTGCCCCAGTGCCCCCTCTGGCTACGTCGCTGCCAGTATATAGACCCACATTAAATTTGGGAATATGTAACTCGGGTACTCCAAATGCCTAAAATCGAACGGAAGTTTTTACAATTTTTTACCTTAAATGCCAAATTTTCGCCACTTCAATTGAAAAATCTTCAAAATATCAAAAATATATCATAGAAGATATATTCAGTTTTGAACGCCAAATAGCTTCCTACCAACGCATGAAAAAACCAGTGAGCGGAGCAGTATAGCTGACGGGGCCGACCATACGATACCCTACACAACTAGGACGGAGTTCTAACTTTATACGACGGAGTTCTAACTTTCTAAAGAAGTTCTAACTTTCAAAAGAAGTTTATTCCGAGCCTGGGAAATATTTCGTGACATTTGCACCCTCTTGCCCGATTAGAGGTCAACAGCATATCTTCCATACACTGACATATTTTCAGTACATCCCTCCTTATTACTTGTCCAGATTGACTTCAGCGTGGGTTGTATGTATCGATTCGAAAAATTGCAAAAAATTAAGTTTTCGGTCCACTTCATCCCAGAATTATTATCTGATCATAATCGAAAATTACAAGCTCTGTCCATGACCATAACTGGAAGCCCATGGAAAATTTCAAATATATACGCCATAGAATCCAAATTTTATCATTTTTCACACAAAAGTCAGGGTCAATTTGACCCGTTAAACATTAACCGATTATTATCAATAAAGGCATGTTTATTCTTTGGCCCGATCCCCTTCTCAATGTAAAATTTCACGATGTTCGGGCCATAATTGCGGCCTCTGGAGCGACCAGAAAAACCGACAAAAATTTCGTGAAGATTGGTCCATAAGTGTGGCCTGTATCGTGCTTACAAATTATAATGGACAGACGGACGGACGAACACACATGTCTAGATCGACTCACCTAGTCGAGATATGACAATCTGTATACTTAAAATTGGGTCTATGCACAAAACTATAATACTCTAACAACATATTTGTGTAGGGTATAAAAATAAAAATCCCGTTTTAACAGCGTTTTATGAACTTTAAAGTGACCTACACCATGAGGTTGACATTCAAGATTTCTAAAATGAATGGGGGTTTTCAGGACAAATAGCGGGATTTGACACCCAATTTGACTTTAAAATACCCTATTACATCCAATTTGGTTGAAAAACGTGTACAGAATCCCAAATATACCGAATAATAGGCGGAACCATTGTATTTAGGCTACCCTGAAACTGAGATGAGAACCCAAAAATACCTAATTTCAGCCAATTCGGGTGAAAACGTGTCCCAATAAAAATACCGAATATTGCGGGGTACCGTTGAACAACGTCTGTTCAAAATTTCAGAGCTCTATGTTAGTATTGCGATATCTATCGAGAATTCAACAGACGGGCATGGATAAATCGACATAAAATTTTATTTTGATCAAGAATGTATATGTACTTTATGGGGACTCCGGCGAATATTTCGATGTGTTGCAAACGAAATGACAAATTAATATACACTTCACCTTATGGTGGAGGGTATAAAAAATACTTTAATATTTATTAATTTTGGGGTAATAAATAATATTTATTTTTTTTTTATTCCACAGATTGTTTTTCTTCATATTTTTTGTTGCGGCCGCTTATAATTCTTTAAATTTTGCCCTTAACATCATTGAAAAGTGGAAAACTTCCCCGGTTATAATTATTATGAATCCCGAGGCAACATTGGTTACCAACGATCCTTTTCCAGCGGTAACAATTTGTAATATGAATCAGGTCAGCAGGAGAAAAGCGAGTAATATTCATGTGTAAGTACTGTAATAGTGGCATTTGATATCTGAAAAAGGTGTAAGTGTTTTTAATTAATATATACAATTTTATTAATTTAAGATTTTGAAAAGTTTTTTCCATTTTTTGTACAGTGTTAATTTCTGCGATAATATATTTTTTGATTTTTTTGCAGGAATTCTTCAGATTATGCAATGCTAACACAAATTTGTTTTCAAGATCTAAACTATACGGCATATGCAACAGCTCCATTTCATAAAGCAAATGATTCGCTTGTTAATTTCATGTTAAGGGTAGGTATATATGATATATTAAAATATATTATGCTTGATCTTGCTGGATATTGGCCATAATGTGTCTTGCAATAAATCCATATTCGATTGATTTATGTGGCATATGCTCATATTGATTGATATTGATCCATATATATATATATATATATTTTTAGAATAGCCAACCCTGTTCCGAACTGATTGCCATGTGTATATGGGATCAGACGCCAATCACATGCACCGATTTGTTTCGGGAAGTATTTTTGGATGAGGGTATCTGTTGTTCTTTCAATATTGCCCATCCATTTTTACTTTACAAGGGAGAGTAAGTAGACGTGGTACAAACTGTACAAAACCCTTGAAAAATAATTGCCTATTCTCTCAGATTTATTATGACTCGAGATTTCACGTCCATTGAGAGTCAATGGATTCCCATTGATTGGCATCCAGAAACTGGCTATCCAGATGATTTGCCGGTTCGCTATTATCCACGCAAAGCTGTTGGTCAGGGTGTGTCAAAAGGTTTAACACTGGTTTTGAATGGTAATATCAACGATTATTATTGTTCGTCGACAAATGGACCGGGATTTAAGGTAGGCTTTCAAAATTCAATATATAAATAAAAAGGTGTATAATAATAAGAATGTTTTATTATTAAAAAATTGATTTTTTCAGCTACAATTACACAATCCCATAGATGTGCCACAGATCAAAGAAACTGGCCTATTGGTAAATTTGGGCTATCAGTCAAGTTTTCGTATTGCCACAATTAAAGATGAGGCACAGGATACGTTGCGTACCGTGGCACCCAAAGATCGTCAGTGTTACTTTGCCAAGGAAAAGCCACTACTCTATTACCAATATTATACACGACGAAATTGTGATAGTGAATGTGATGCCATGTTTTTCCTGCGAACATGCAATTGTATTCCCTATTTTCTACCGAAAATCTTTGATAATGCCACCATTTGTTACATACAACATTTCGATTGTCAAAAGAAGGCCGAAAGGGTTTACACGGATCCCGAAACGATGAAATGTAAAAAGGAATGCTTGTCAAGTTGCCATGATCTCAGCTATATGCCAGATGTTTTTGAAACCCCTCTGGCTACAGATGATTTCGAATTGGATAATAGTTTTATGCGGAACTTCTCCAAGGAATATATTTCGGAAAATTTAGCCTTGGTTAATATTTATTTTCCACAAAATTATTATCGTAGTAGTATTAAGACTCCGTATACGGGTCTAACGGAATATTTGTGTAAGTTGAAAATTTATTTGTACAATTTGGAAAGTTTAATTTATTGTTGTTTTGTTGTTGTATTACAGCTCAAACTGGTGGCATTATGAGTTTGATGATTGGTTTCAGTGTATTTTCCCTGGTGGAATTTGCATACTTTTTCATTATTAAACCCTTGATGCAATTGTGGACCAAGATTTTCCGCAAAAATATTATTAATGTAGGTCAAGTGGAAGCCAGAAGGGAATATGCACATTAAACGAGAATGTTTGTAGTTTTTACGTATATAAATTTCTTACACGGCACCAACTCACCATGCAGGAGAATTGTCAACAGCACTAACGGATTTTAATAATTAATATTTGGCCCACACATCTATATGTTACTAATAAATATCTGTATTTATAAATAAGTAAAAAATTTCGCTAAATTCGGGCGTGTCCTCCACCATGGGAGGTGGGAGGCTGACAATATTTATATAAAAGTTATGTATTTGTAGATTGGACGCAGGAGGCTTTTTTGCCTCAGACTAAGAAAATGCCACACATGAACCCATATTAAATATTTTATGAAAATATTAGATTAGAGCCACTTGTTTTGGAAAATTCTGCTGAAAACTTCAAAATAACGAAAATGGGGTTAGTCCTATATAAGGGGGTAAAGCTAAAACATTTTTACTCACTATCAACCCAGAATATCAACTTACCTTTTCTTCAGCAGGAAAATGCGCCTAGGACCATTAAAATATCTAAAATTGAGGGGGACGTCTTATTGAGGATTATCTATGAACTAATTTCGAAAATATTCTGCAAAGAGTTTTATCACCTTCTAAAAAATTCCTTCGGGTTAAAGGACTTTTAAAATACTGACGATTTTAGCTACTTTTAAAGTACATTCTTGGTGAATCTCATGTTGCTTTTGCTGTCATGTCATTAACTATCTTATATCTGAACTATTTTTCCGGAAATTTTAAGGAAGCATGTAGGAATTTGCTGTAGTAAAAATACAATAAGCATGAATAATACACATTTTTTGCACCCAATCGAAGCATTTGCTCCACTTAAGTTAACTCATCCTCAAAAGAGGAGTAATACACGCCTCAACAGCAACTTCTGCCGACGAAAATCAATGACAACGCATTTTAGTCTTCATGAGTAGGAATAAAAAGAAGTTCATGGGTGTCTAGTCGGGGCTTTACAGGTCATCAATTCCACGTTTTGGCCGGTCAAAACGGTGTTGGTTTAAGCCATTGTGTGAGAGTCCCAATGATTCTTCTTTTCTTATAATTTGTTGGCATTATGGAGTACCACTCAAAATTGACCATTATAAATTGATCAAGCGAAATAATCACCATTTCAGCATTTTTTCAAAAGAAGCAGACGAACATTTGTTATGGAGTGCTTCCTGACTATACGTGATACGTACTTTACTTACTTAGCTGGCTTGTAACAGAACAATTGTTCCATAAGCCGAGTTTAAAAAATATTTCCAATAGCGTCGATCTCTTGCGCAGCTCTTCCAATTTGAAAGACTATGCTCCGATATATTGTCTTCTACTTGATCTTTCCATCGGATTCGTGATCTGTCCTCCCTTTTATATGCCTTTGAGCTGGGGCATCATCCATTCTCACAAAATGGCCTAGCCAAGGTAGTCGCAGCAGCTCGATCCGTCTGACTATGTCGATGAATATATGGCATAGCTCATGGTTCATTCGACGGCGATATTCAGCATCGACACAGATCGGCACATAGATCTTCCGGATAATTTCCGGAAGATTTTCTCTCAAACACTCCGAGAGCTGCCTCATCTGCACAAGTACCCATGCTTCAGATCCATACAACAGAACGGGTAGTATCAGCGTTTTGTAGAGTATGAGTTTAGTCTGGCGAGAGGTGCCTTGTTTCTAAATTGTTAACTTAGATATTTAGTAGCATCTGTTCGCCAACACTATTCTTCTTCGAATTTCAAAACTGATGTCACTTTGTATGAATGCAGGAATTGCAGGAATTCTCTGAACTGTTAGGGCTTTCAAATGCGGCTTTATAGTCGACAAATAGATGGAATGTGTGGATCTTTTCCGTGGGTCTTTTCCAGTGTGAAAATCTGGTTAATGGTGTATTTTCCAGGCTTGAAGCCGCTTTGGTATGGTCCAATAATGTTATTAACCATTGGCTTCAGTCATTCACACAGTACGCTGGATAACACTTTATATACAATGGGAAGGAGATTTATTCCTCATGATATTATAAAATTAATTTTGAATAAAACATTGACCATTTTGTGTTGCAGGTTCCAGAATGAGTGGACCGATGGTTTCCATCTTCCAACTTGAATTATCTTAGAAAACAATATTACGATGTGCATCTTTAGCATCAAATCGGACAAACCATTGCTTTTGGATTAACAAATTTTCAACATTTTGACCCATTGTGTTGGAGGTTCTAAAAGGAGTGGATCCATCGATCTCATCTTTGAGTTCGATCTAGGCTAGATACAAATATTACGATGTGCAATGTTTAGATGAAGTTAGGATATTCCGTTCATTTCATATAATAATATAATTTTAAAAATGTTGACACTAAGGTAAGTACTAAAATATTAGGTTGTGCAAAGTTTGGTTTGAATCGGATGCTCAGTTCGCATGAGATTATAAAAATCATTTTCAGCAAAATGTTGACCATTTTGTGGGGTGGGTACCAGAAGGATTATCTCAATCTTCGAACTTAATATAAGTTTGAAATGAATGTGTTCAGTTTGGATCAAATTGGACATTCCATTAGCTTAATATTCGATTTAAGAAAATTGAAAATGTTGGCCCTTTGTGGAAGTTTATCGATATTTCCCATGTATATACCCTCACTAGTCATAAGACTGAGGTTATAAGGGACCTTCATCGAAAATTTTCTGAAAGTATATTGATCACCGTCCAAGAACCCAGAATAAAAATATCAAAATATCGTAAATATGGCTGTTACAAATTCTCAGCCTCCAAACCTATTGAAAGTACTTCAAATACCTTTAATAAATACGAAAATCTATACATAATTTTTCACACAAATTTCACAACTAGCCCAATTTATGTAGTAATATTCACATTCATAAATAATTATAGTATATTTTAATATTTATTGTCAAAATAGGTTCCACAACATTCGTTAGTCTACGAGAATTATATAAATATTATGTAGTTATTTGTAGTATATGTATACATTGTTAATATTAAGTTTGGTTAATAAAAATGTAAAATAATAATGTCTCATCATATATTTTTACTAAAATCATTACAGTATTGGTATAAATATGGCAACATTGGCCTCAGTTGCAACACACCTGAATGTGAGTATCAAACCTAGTTTTTATTTCATTCACCACAATCAAACATCAATCCACATCTTCATGCGATCTTCTCAGTTGAATTTCTGAGTTTGATATTACCGGTTGCCTGCACTACTACCGCAGATAAAAATATTTTCCACACTCGTAAAGAGAAAAACACACCAAGAATATATTAGAAAAAAATCGTAAATTATTATACAAAGTCTGTATTGTGTATTAATTAAAACTAATTTATCCTATAAAGAAAACCACAAGAACAGCAACAGAAAAAACAAATTGTCGGTTGGAAAAGAAAGTACGAACTATAAAATAAAATTCTTGAATTATCAAGCAAAAATATACGAAGAGAAACAAATAGTAATAGAGAAATAAAACGGAAAATTTGTAATAAAGTGAATAGAAAATAATTGTGTTTGCGTTTTTGTGTTGAAACGTTATATTTATTTATATTTTAAATCTGATTTTAACACTTTTCATTTAGTTTATATAATTTTAAATAGCGTGAGTAGCTGCCATAGAAAAGGTAAATTGTATTATAGCGTGTGTCTAATGATTAAAATGTTATGTACTTATGTCTAAACAATATGCCACTGCATGGAGAATTTATCTCAAGCGTTTAGAACACATCAACGAAATTTTTCAATGCACAATTATATTATTAGTGAAAATTAAACTAAAGAATTATACTCCCTAAAATAATCTTTAATACTAGATTGCCGAAGGCGGTCATTTAGACCGTTTTTCAATTTCAAGTACAAAAACAATTGTGTGTATTAGGACACAGCTTTTTAAAATTTGGTAACTTTTGTACCACCTAGAACTACGTTTATTAATCATAGTAGCTGCTCCCCCCTCTTTCATTCCCGGTATTCACATGTGCTATACCTATATTGTCTAAAATCGGTCATATTGACTTGCGAAATATTAAATAATCAAACTACATTTATTATTGTATAAAATAAATTCCTTATATGATCTGATCATTACAACAGCATCGATAACCGTTTGCTACTATAGAAACACAAACGAACACACAAATCGGGAAAAAATAAATTTTATATTTCCAGTCGATTTCACTCTTAGACTTACTCTTACTCTTACTTACTTACTCTTTTTCGAAAATTTTGTTCGCACTCTTATTTTTCAAAATAGGGAAAATCGAGAACCCTCCCACCGAAAACAAATAACAATATTTTGTGTGATTGTAAATAATGTAAAAAATATTAAAAAATATGTTAAAAAATTCTTTACACAATAAAAATTCTTTCAAAATAAGGTCATTTTGACCGATTTTAGACAATATACGTATACATAAAATTCCAGTCTTTCTGGTGTTAAAAATCCCGCTTATTGCTTCGATGGCCCTCCCTAAAAAATTCTTTAAAAATCCATGTTTGTTGTAGAGATGGTTCGCCCAAAAATACTCTTTAAAAATCCACGCTTATGAGATGGTCCTCCTAAAAATATTTTTTAAAGATCAACACTTGAAGGTCTTAAAATACTCCTTAAAATATTCTTTCAAAATCCACACTTATAATTGTGATGGTGATCCACACTTATAGTTGAGATGGTCATCCTAAAAATATTCTTTAAAAATCCACGCCTATTGTTGAGATGGTCCTCCCAAAAATATTTTTTAAAAATCCGCGCCTATTGTTGAGGTGGTCATCCAAAAATTATTCTTCAAAAATCCACACTTATAGTTGAGATGGTCATCCTAAACATATTCTTTTAACATCCACACTTATAGTAGAGATGGTCATCCGAAAAATATTCTTTAAACGTCCACACTTATTGTTCAGACGGTCATCCTTAAAATATTCTTTCAAAATCCACACTTATAATTGTGATGGTGATCCACACTTATAGTTGAGATGGTCATCCTAAAAATATTCTTTAAAAATCCACGCCTATTGTTGAGATGGTCCTCCCAGAAATATTTTTTAAAAATCCGCGCCTATTGTTGAGGTGGTCATCCAAAAATTATTCTTCAAAAATCCACACTTATAGTTGAGATGGTCATCCTAAAAATATTCTTTAAAAATCCACACTTATAGTTGAGATGGTCCTCCCAGAAATATTCTTTAAAAATCCACACTTATAGTTGAGATGGTCATCCTAAAAATATATTTTAAAAATCCACACTTATAGTTGAGATGGTCATCCTAAAAATATTCTTTAAAATCCACACTTATAGTTGAGATGGTCATCCTAAAACTATTCTTTAAAAATCCACGCTTATTGTTCATATGTTCATCCTAAAAAGATTCTTTAAAAATCCACACTTAAAGTTGAGATGGTCATCCTAAAAATATTCTTTAAAAATCCACACTTATAGTTGAGATGGTCATCCTAAAACTATTCTTTAAAAATCCACGCTTATTGTTCATCCTAAAAATATTCTTTAAAAATCCACACTTATAGTTGAGATGGTCATCCTAAAAATATTCTTTAAAAATCCACACTTATAGTTGAGATGGCCCTTCCAAAAATATTCTTTAGAAATTTTAAAGAATATTTTTAGGATGACCATATCTTAGAAATATTCTTTAAAATCTACACTTGTAGTTGAGATGGTCATCCTAAAAATATTCTTTAAAATCCACACTTGTAGTTGAGATGGTCATCCTAAAAATATTCTTGGAAAATCCACACTTGTAGTTGAGATGGTCATCCTAAAAATATTCTTGGAAAATCCACGCTTATTGTCGGTATGGTCATCCTAAAAATATTCTTGGAAAATCCACGCTTATTGTCGGTATGGTCATCCTAAAAATATTCTTGGAAAATCCACGCTTATAGTTGAGATGGTCCTCCCAAAAATATTCTTTAGAAATCAACGGTTATTGTTGAGATGGTCCTCCTATAAATATTCTTTAAAAGTCCTTAAAATCCAAGCTTGTTGCTGATATGGCCTCCCAAAAATATTCTTTAAAAATCCACGCTTATAGTTGAGATGGTCCTCCCAAAAACATTAAGAAATGTTTTGTGAGATAGACCTACAAAACATATTTTTAGAAATCCATGCTTATTGGTCCTAAAGATATCCTTTAAAAATGTAGGGTTTGTCAGAATATTGCTTCCAAAAATATGTTTTGGAAATTAATGATTATTTCAAAATCACGTTTACTGCATTATTTATTTGTATATTTACTAATTCCAAATAAGTTCCTTAATATTTATCCTGGTATTGTTCCAAATCATCCCTATTCCAAATCATTATAGGATTCTGTAGAATTTTGCGACGATTAAATAGCATCTCATGATGAAATTTATCCATTGTAGACTCTTCACTATCATCCGATGAGTATTCCTCCAAATCATCGTTAATATCAATTTTCTGGGGTAAGCGGCGTAGTCTCACATCAAAAAATGATTTCAAAAAAGCGAAATAAAAAAATTCCACAATGGAGATGACACTAAAGCCAACCATGAGACTCATGACACCACCAGTTTGAGCTGAAATGTCAATAAAGCAGCTACTATAATTCTCATATTAAACACTTGGTTTCAGCCAACTCACATAAAAATTCCGTCACCCCAGTATATGGTACCTTCGTATTACCACGAAAGAAATTCTCTTGATAGTAGAATTGTACCTGAGCCAAATCTCGTTCCATAACTTCGTGCGAAACATTCAAATAGTATGGATCCAATAGAGTGTAATTTCTTTGCGATAATGGTGATACAAATAAATCGGGGAAGAATGTCACTTCTTGACATCCGGCCAAACAATGTTCCTTACACGAACGTGCTTTAGCTTTAACCAAATATCCTTCAGCCCATTCAACACATTCCATATCTTTGAGGAAGCAAATTGAGGCATTTCTATCCACCATTGCCATATAGTAGGGTATACACCGGCATACACTGAGAACAAATTCTGAATCACATTCCATTTCACAATTACGCCTCGTATAATATTTGTAATATTTCAACGGTTTCTCATCACTGAAGTAACATTGACGATCTCGTGGTTTGACACTGCGTAAACTTTGTGCAGATTCCATTATTTTAGCATTGATACGAACTCTGGTCTGATGGCCAAGGGTTATGGGTAAACCGGTGTCTTTGATGTGTGGCGAATCGATTGGATTATACAGGAGCATCTAAGGGGGAATATTTTTTGAATGTATATTTATTAGTCCCATGCAAGGTACCATTTACCTTAAAACCAGCTCCATTAGTGGAGCTGCAGTAATAATCATTAACATCAGCATTTAAGATGACAGTCAGTCCCTTTGATACACCAGATCCCAGTGCCGGGCGTGGATAGAAATTTTGTGGCAGTGGCTTTTTGTAGCCTTCTTCAATACTCCAATTTATGGGTATTGTGGTGCGACCATTCGATGATGTGTAAGCACGAATTATTCTAAAGCTGAATATACGACAGATTTAAAATCAAATAAGAGGGCAGGCTTATAGGTAGGATAATCCTTCTTAAAAATAATATTTAAAAATACACGATTAAAGGTTATAAAGCCCTGCCAAAATATTCTATAAAAATCAACGCTTAAAGGTTTTAAAGACCTCCAAAAAATATTCTTAAAATCCACGCTTAACGGTTTTAAATTCCTCCTAAAAACATTCTTTAAATATCAACGCTTATTGTTGAGAGGAACATCCTACAAATATGCTTTAAAAATCAAAGCTTATTGCTGAGAGGGACTTCCTAAAAATATGCTTTAAAACTCTACGGTTATTGTCCTCCTACAAATATTTTTTTTTAAATCCGCGCTTATTGTTGATATGGTTCTCCTAAAAACATTCTTTAACAATCCACGAGATAGTCCTCCTATAAATATTCTTTAAAAATCGAGCCTTGAAGATGTTAAAATTCTCCCAAAAATATTCCTTAAAAATCAACCCTTATTGTTGAGATATGCTTTAAAAATCAAAGCTTATTGATTTTATTGATATAGCTTATGCTTTATAACTCCACGGTTATTGTTGAGATGGTCCTCCTAAAAATCTTCTTTAAAAATCCTCGCTTGTTGTTAAGATGGTCCTCCTACAAATATTTTTTTTAAAAATCCACGCTTATTGTTGATATGGTTCTCCTGAAAACATTATTTAAGAATCCACGAGATGGTCCTCCTATAAGAAGATTTTAAAATTCTCCCAAAAGTATTCCTTAAAATCGCTTATTGTTGAGAGGGACCTCCTAAAACTATTCTTTAAAAATCCACGCTTATTGTTGAGAGGGACCTCCTAAAACTATTCTTTAAAAATCCACGCTTATTGTTGAAAGGGACCTCCTAAACCTATTCTTTAAAAATCCACGCTTATTGTTGAGAGGGACTTCCTAAAACTATTCTTTAAAAATCCACGCTTATTGTTGAGAGGGACCTCCTAAAACTATTTTTTAAAAATCCACGCTTATTGTTGAGAGGGACCTCCTAAAACTATTCTTTAAAAATCCACGGTTTTTGTTGAGAGGGACCTCCTAAAAATATTCTTCAAAAATCCACGCTTATTGTCGAGATGATCCTCCTAAAAATATTCTTTAAAAATCCACGCTTCTTGTTGAGATGGCCTCATAAAAATATTCATTAAAAATCCTGATTTATTGTTGAGATGGTTCTCCTAAAAATATTCATGAAAAATCCAAGCTTATTGTTGAGAGGGTCCACCTAAAAATAATCTTAAAAAATCCACGCTTTTTGTTGAGATGGTCCTCCTAAAAATATCCTTTAAAAATTCACGCTTTTTGTTGAGATGGTCCTCCTAAAAATATCCTTTAAAAATTCACGCTTATTGTTGAGATAGTCCTCCTAAAAATATTCTTTAAAAATCCACGCTTACTGTTGAGAATGACCTCCTAAAAATATTCTTTAAAAATCCACGCTTGTAGGTCTTAAAATACTCCCGAAAATATTCTTTACCATTTCACGTTTGGAGGTCTTAAAGTCCTTCCAAAAATTGTGTTTTATGATTGAGGATTGGTTCGGTTCTCGCTGAACTTACCCTCCTTTAAATAGAAAGAATGGATGCATTTGATTAAATACACAACACATGCCCTCATCCAAAAGGACTTCTCGAAAGAGATCGGAGCATTTAAATACAGTTGGACCAAATTTACAATATATGATCATATTTTCGCAGGTTTGGGCGTTCTGCAAAGCGTACAAAAATTATTAAAATATTATATCCCAGAAAATTTGTGAAGCTCATACCCTTGTAATAAAATTGGCAAAGGTATCTCCCTCGTAACGTGGCTTGAAATCACGAAATTTTGAATAATTATATTTTTGAAAACATAATTTCTGCAGTAGAGCATAGTCAGGAGAATCTCTATAAAGACAAAAAATTAACTCCAAAACTTCCTTTTAAACTAACACACTTAACTTACTTTGGAAACTTTCCCACCTTTCTGCGCAGGGCCTGATTCATATTACAAAATGTAACCGTGGGAAAAGGTAAATCTTGAATCGAAGTCGTTTTAGAACTCATGCTAATTATGACCGGAGTAGTTTGCCATTTGTCTAGGAAATACTTGGCCATATAAATGCCAGAGGTGAAAACAATGGTGAATGAGATTAGGTAATAACCCCTGCAAGGAATTAATTTTTAAATGTATTTTAATATATTCAAAAACCAAAAAAAAATTGATTTCTGTATACCTCTCCCACAAATTCCTATCACGATCGTAAACATATTTCAACCCATTCAATGATGTCTCCAGTAGAAATCTTTTCAAATTGACTTGAAAATATTTATGAATTGGCAATCGTTTCCCTTTTGGTTCTTCATTTGAGTGGTGTTGATGAAGAGGATACTGAATTTCTTCCATTTTCAAATTGCGACTGATTTGATTGGTCATATAACTGAAGTATTTATATGTAGTTATGTCGTAATGACTCCTTTGATTGATTTAGGTCAATTGAATTAATTCATTAACGTTTAGCGTATTTTCGTATTTAGTTGTGTTATTAAAAGGCCAAAATAGGACTGAATTGGCAATATAATGGTCTTTCGTATTTATATTTATAGATTTTTAAGAACATTGGTATATTTGTTAAAACACTTGTCCTCGATATTCAAGATATTATTAGTCATGTACATATACAGCATGATTAGATTATAAATGAAGAGTTGCAGCGTTGGTTATAAAAAAGGAACTACCTTAGATATTAGGGCCTAGGAATTTAAAGCATATCAGTAAGCGCTATAAATAAGAACGGCTTACATCCAAAAACGATAATACATAATATATTTATGACGTCAGAAGTCATTTCTGAATGCACCAAACAAAAAACAGCAAAATTATTTTTTTTTTTACCGGGAAAAAGTAATAGATTTCTTTTCCCCCAAACAATACAATTGACCTTCATAAATGGCCTTTTATTGGCAACGTGCCCAAACTCCCCAAAAAAACCGAATAAACATGTAATTTTATTTTGACCAAAAATATATACGGATTTTTGCACATAATCGTCCTCCTAGTCGTAACCCCGTACTAAATAATGTAAGCTACCGTTATATGGAAGATATGCCTGAACATATTCATGTTATCCTGTTGGCCAATTCTGGCCGTTTCTGGTCAATTGCTATCTTCAAACGGCCCAGTTGTTGACAGCAGAGATCATATAAAAGCAACTCATAATAAATAATCCACTTCCAGTCCCACCAAATCCATAGTTGAACCTTCCTTGCCGTTAGTCCTCATTCGGCCACTGTTTGAGGTGCTCCACCGCTCTTTAACCACGATCGTTTTCGCACAGGGTTATCGTATGTGATCCATTTTCATATGCAGTCACCATCCGTTTAAGAAATGTGTATATCTCATTCCGTTTGGCCATGGCTTCGTAGATGGAAATTTGATCCATCTGTTAATTGGTGTGGCACCCAAACATACAGCTTCTTTTTGAATCCAGCTTTGTGTAAATGGTTTAAAACAGTTTTATGTTAGATTTTTTGCTCCTGGGCGATGTTACGACTGCCGGTCAACTTCGATCATTTCTCCGATTTGATCGACATTTTCGACGACCGGCCTAATGGATTTCTTTTTCCCCAACCTAATATTTTTTCCGATTTTTTTACCCTTCACCACACTGTGGTACAGGGTATTATGTCTTTGTGCATATGTTTGTAACAGGTAAAAGGAATCGAGATAGACCCATAGTTCCTTTTGAGAATATGCATAGAATCACTTTCTGAGTCAATTTACGCATGTCCGTCTGTCCGTCCGTCTGTCCATGTATTTTTGTGAACAAAATACAGGTCGCATTTATGATGCGATTTGAATGAAATTTGGCACAGTTCACTTGTTTGGCCCAAGGACGAACCCTATTGAAATTGGGAAAAATCGGTTCAGATTTAGATATAGCTTCCATATATAGTTTCGTCCGATTTAATGTAAACGGTCCCTATATATCTTTCGATTTGCAAGAAATTTGGCACAGAGTAATGAATTAGGTCTAGAATGATGTCTGCCAAGTTTCGTGAAAATCGGTCAAGATTTAGATATAGCTCCCATGGTTTCGTCCGATTTCATGTAAATAGTGCCCCATAGTCCCTATATATCTTTCGATTTGCACGAAATTTGGCATAACGTACTGAATTAAGCTTCGAGTGGTGTCTGCCAAGTTTCATAAAAATCGGAACAGATTTAGATATAGCTCCCATATATAGTTTCGTCCGATTTCATGTAAATGGTGCACCAAAGTCGCTATATATTTTTCAATTTGCACGAAATTTGGTACAGCCTAATCATTTAGGTCTAGAATGATGTGTGTAAAATTTGATGAAAATCGGTCAAAGATATATATATATATATATAGCTCCCATATATAGTTTCGTCCGATTTCATGTAAATGGTGCACCAAAGTCGCTATATATCTTTCGATTTGCACGAAATTGGGCATAACGTACTGAATTGAGTCTAGAATGATGTCTACGAAGTTTCGAGAAAATCGGTCCAGATTTAGATATAGCTCCCATATATAGTTTTGTCCGATTTCATGTAAATGGTGCACCAAAATCCCTATATATATTTCGATTTGCACGAAATTCGGCATAACGTACTGAGTTGAGCCTAGAGTGATGTCTGCCAAGTTTTGAGAAAATCGGTCCAGATTTATATATAGCTCCCATATATAGTTTCGTCCGATTTTATGTAAATGGTGCGCCAAAGTCCCTATATATCGATTTGCACGAAATTTGGCATATCGTAATGAATCACGTCTAGAATGATGTGTGTTAAGTTTACTGAAAATCGGCCCAGATGTAGATATAGCTCCCATATATAATTTTGTCCGATTTAATGTAAATGTTGCACCAAAGTCCCTATATATATTTCGATTTGCACGACATTTGGTATTGCGTAATGAATAAGGTCTAGAATTATGTGTGTTAAGTTTCGTGAAAATCGGTTCAGATTTAGATATAGCTCCTATATATTTTTTCTTCCGAGTCTGTGTAAATTGTGCACTAAACCCCCAAAGTTTGTCTGATTTCCACACAATTGGTACAATGAACTGTAGTTACTATAATACATTTCCTTTACATTGCTTTATATAATTTTGTCCCATTGTAAGAAGCAACCCTATATCTGACCAAATGAAAACTTTAGTGTAGGTTACAGAATGACATGTTTATGGATCCATTTTCATGGTAATGGTCCTTCAAAAATTCGACGTCTGTTATGATTCATCTGTTGAATATACCCAAAGTGGTGAAGGGTATCATATAGTCGGCCCCGTCCGACTTTACTGCTTTCCTTACTGGTTTTTTTACTGAAGCAGCAAAATGCCACACTTGGTATCCGATTAAAAATTGGTATAGTCGATCCTGATCAATTTAGAATCCCTTTTGCAAAATTTGGTCCAGATCGGTTCATATGGATTTATATACAGCGTCGGCAAAAATAGTAGAAAAAAGCAAGTTTAAATTTATTTTTTATTTATTTGTTTTTTCTTTTTTTTTTTTTTGAAAAGAAAGGCGGATTTTTATAATTATCACTTCAATTTGAAGATATATTTAAGTCAGGGTTAGCCAACAATACATATGCAAACTGCTATGATTGTGTTGGACACACGCATAGATCCGTTGGGAGAGTAATTTTCGCTCTCTCGGTACAGATCGTATATGTTTATGCATTACCAAGCATACGACATGTTCGATGGCGAGAATAATGTTGAGTTCCAACACTGAACTGTGATTGTATTGGTAGTCTCCCAAACCTTCACCACACTGTGGTAGAGGGTATTATGTCTTTGTGCATATGTTTGTAACAGGCAAAAATAATCGAGATAGACCTATGGTTCCTTTTGAGAATATGCATAGAATCGCTTTATGAGTCGATTTATGCATGTCCGTCCGTCCGTCTGTCTGGTCGTCCATGTATTTTTGTTAACAATGTACAGGTCGCATTTATGATCCGATTTGGATAAAATTTGGCACAGGTCACTTAATTGGCCCAAGGACGAACCCTATTGAAATTGGGAAAAATCGGTTCAGATTTAGATATAGCGCCCATATATTTTTTCGTCCGATTTAAGGTAAATGGTGCACCAATGTCCCTGTATATCTTTCGTTTTGCACGACATTTGGCATAGCGTAATGTCTTAGGTCTAAAATGACGTGTGTTAAGTTTCCTGAAAATCGGTTCAGATTTAGATATAGCTCCTATATATATCTTCGTCCGATTTAAGGTAAATCGTGTACCAATGTCCCTATATATCTTTCGATTTGCACGAAATTTGGCATAGCGTAATGAGTTAGTTCTAGAATGATGTGTGTTATGTTTCGTGAAAATCGGTCCAGATTTAGATATAGCTCCCATATATATTTTCGTCCCGTTTAAGGTAAATGTCGTACCAAAGTCCCCTAATATCTTTCGATATGCACGAAATTTGGCACAGCGTAATGAATTGCAGAATGACATGTTTATAGATCCAATTTAATTTCACTGGTCCTTTAAAAATGCGACGTCTCTTAGGATTCATCAGGTGAAAATATCCAAAGTGGTGAAGGATATCATACAGTCGGCTCCGTCCGACTTTACTAATTTCTTTACTGGTTTTTAAATTAAAATTTTAAGTTTTTTATGAGTCCATATGAATATAACTTTTTTAACATATATATATATATGTTTCGCGGATAAAAAATATTTCACATGTATGCACCAACAATTTTTAATCACATAAATTTTTGTGTTCTCATAATTACAATCCTAATCAGCATATATTAAAAATCTTTAATCATTAAATATCTTCTTTAAATTGAGTTTTACAAAATTTTACAGCTTTTACGGCTCAGTATATCATGATGAGGCGTTGCCAAGTTTAAATGATTTTATTTTTGTGTGCTTCAAGGTGTTGTGAATTCCTTTACCATTTTATTCAACTACATGACTTCAAAAATTAATTTTTTGCCTCAAATACAAATATTGATATCCGAAAATACCGATACTAAGCAAAGCGCCAACCATCGCTTCCACGTCGAAGTGCAGATACAATCACCTCCTCCGAGATCCGTTTGCAATGCACCTAACCTAACCCTATCCGAAACGATACTCGTTTACCAACATACCCAACGAGTGAAAAATTTACTTCATCGCTGTAGAAAATTTTGTTCGAAAATTGACGACTTTATATAGATGTAGGTGTAGATATAGATAATTAAGCCATAATGTGCCGTAAGACAGTCCTAATTCTTGAGAACGACGAGGAATCGACACATTCGGGTCTTCGGTAAAATTTGCACATATAGCAGCGATATTTTCAGCGAAACTATGATATACAGGCCATACAATATTGGTAACCGTTCCAATCTCTTCAAATTACTTCATAGTTCCGAGATAGTTAAACAATCCATGCTCTTCAAAGCCAGAAAAAATTGGTTTAACAACATAGAAATAACCCGGATAACCCGTTATATGCAACATTTTGTGTCAATTGGAAACAAGTGGCGTGTCTTGTATGCTCAATTTACATTAAATCTAAAGAAATTATATACACATAGGATAAAAAAGTAAAATCTGTCCTTCGTTAAATATGTGAAGATGATTGACAGCCCGTTTCGGTAAGACGATCGAATGGGGTTTTCTCGCTTTTATTCGCACTTAATTTACCAACTACTGAACGTATTTGATCATATACCTTGAAAAAACTGGGACAAGTGTAGAGTTTACATAACTAAGCGAGATGTTACTGCTACACCTAATAAAAATTGAATTTTACAATTCTGTGATGAAATTTACTGCATCACAACATGCTAAAAACCACTGAGCGGAGCAGTAAAATCAGACGGGGCCGACCATATGATATCCTACACAACTACCATAAAAACCTATCTTTCTGCGCTTCTATATTCTGAGCGTGAGCAATATTTCGCGCAATATTTCTCTTGACCGATTGTATTTCTTTCTAAACCTGGCATATCAAAATCTTTTTTTTTCGAAGTTAATAAAAGAAATAAATAATTTTTATATGAACTATAACACTTTATTTAACATGCTTCGTGATATCCGATGTGGGCCAAATATGCATCATTTTGTTCTATAATTTGTTGCCATTTTAAAGGTAACTTCATAATGCCTCTTTCATAGAAGTCTTTATTTTCAAAACCAAACCAATTTTTTTATCATTAAGAGATTTTGCAATGCAAGATACACTAAATCTTCCCAACCAAGCTCCCGAAGTTTCTGGCGAGTAACTGTAAATGTGTGTGGCCTAGCGTTGTCTTAGTGGAACACGACACCACTCCTGTTGGCCAATTCTGGCCGTTTTGGGTCAGTTGGCATCTTCAAACGGTCCAGTTGCGACTGTAAAGATCAGAATTTAGCGTTTGGCCATTTGGAATATATAATCCCTATAATCCCCTTCCAGTCCTACCAAATGTATAGCAGAACCTTCCTAGTCGTTAGTCCTGGTTTGCCCACCATTTGAGTTGCTCCACCGCGCAGGGTTATCGTTTGTAAACCATACAATAAAAATGTATGTACACCATACAAAAGAAATAGAAATTAAAGTCATTTTTACGACATATAATAAATTGTTGCTCCCTACGATTTGTACACCCTCCACGAAAAAATGGAGGATGTATTCGCAAAGTTTTTATTGATCACCTAAAGTTTAAAATAAAAGTCATACAATAGTTATTAAACAATTTATTTTTCAACACGCAAAAATTACATTAATTTGTGAAATATGCAACAAAAACCAAGTTCAAATGTGATTTTATTTTTTAATTTCCGTTGTTTTAGTTTGATATTTTTTCATATCGTCCATATTCCAGACCATGACACGGTTGTTAATTGGTTTGCGGGGTTTTATCAAATAACGCGGGTGACCTTTATCCAATGGAGTGTCCTTTAATGAAATCAAATATAATTAGTACAACATAAAATTTAAATCCATATTATAAATGGACAATATTATTTAATTGTCGAAGCTTACTAGGTTCTCTTTAGAATTTATTTCTTTCTCGTCCTCTTCAGTTAGTTTTTCTGGCTGCCGTGGCGGATTTATATCGAAAAATATTTTCAGAAATCCAAAATAGAAAACTTCACCGACACATATAACACTGAAGCCAACCATTAAACTCATAATGCCACCAGTTTGAGCTATATTGAAAATAAAATTATATAGATATGTTTTAAATATTATAAATTCCTTAAAATCCCAAAGAAAGCATTTATTCATGATGAACCCAAAAAAATATCATTCTCAATCTGTGCGCCTTAGTTATAAAGGAAAATAATTCACTAGATGTTGAGGACATTATAATTGAATGAGCCAATCATATTTCCAAATTTTTTACTCACACAAAAACTCCGTTAACCCCGTGTACGGTGCCTTCGTATAACCACGAATATTATTGGTTTTATAGAAAAATGTCACAATGGCCAAATTGTTTTTCATATCTTCCAGGGTGCGATTGTGAAAAAATTTATCCGGTAAATGATAGAAATCATGTTGCGTAAACAGCGAAGAAAACATATCTGGCGAATGGGTTATTTCATGACATCCCGATAAACAGTCACTTTTACATTTATCCACATTTGAAACGGACATTAACAATTCTCCCCGTCCAACACATTCCATATACTTGAGAGAGCAGGTCGTTACATTCGGCCGAATAATTGGTAAATAGTATGGTAAACATCCACACATCGCATATAACATTTCAGCATCACATTCCTGTATACAATTGTGACGTGTATAGTAATGAAAAAATTTCAAAACTTTTTCATCGCTGAAATAGCACTGTCTATTCTTTGGCGATACTTGACGCAGTGTTGGCGCAGCTTCAGTTATTTTCGTTTGAATTCGAACACGAGTTTGTCTACCAATCGCTATGGGCAATCCATACTCTTTGATGTAGGGCGTATCGACAGGATTGTAGAGCATCATCTAGTTTGCGATACAGGAAATTAATCAAGGTTATTATGATAGGAAGGTGGGATGTGTATCATGTATATACCTTAAAACCAGCACCATTTGTCGATGAGCAATAATAATTATTTATGTCAGCATTGAGCACCAGTCTCAAGCCTTTCGATGATCCAGGACCTTTTAGTTGAATAGGTATTATAAATTATATTACTGTGTATTTTTTATTTAAATAAATTGTTTTACCTGGTGTTTTCCTGGGAAAAAATCTTTTGGGTAAGAAATCTTTTCCGTAGCCCTCCTCGAATGTCCATTTAACAGGCAATGTAGTTCGACCGTTTGAGTTAGTAAAATCTCGTATAAATCGGAATCTGATTAAATATATAAAACATTTATTGTAAAATAAAGGAAGTTATATGCTAGAAGGTATATGGAATAACTTTTCATTCAAGAACGTTTTTTTGTGTATTTAAATATAAATTACATATAAATTTTTCGGTATATATACACTAAAATTCTGAAATTGGGTTTATATTTAGTACCATGAAGTTACACCACGCCAAATCGTGTTTTTCGATTAAAAAATACAATCCCATTAGATTTTTTAATGTGTTTGCATAAACGTACTACCATGTGTTGTGTTGCTTACATTGATTTGCAAAACAAAAAGAACAAAGTTTCAGTCGGTATTTCCGAAAGATGCAAGAGAATAGTTAGTTTTTCAAAAATATTTTTATTTTTCAATATAATCTCCTAAAACTTCAAAAAAAAAAACATAGTCCAACGCTTTTCTAGCAATTCTATCCCTTGATTAAAATAGTTTTTTAGATGTGAGAACAAGTAAAAGTCACTACTCTTACTTTAATTCTCTTATGCGCTGATGAGTTGTCATGACGAAAAATAATTTTTTTTGTGTAGTAAGCCAGGACGTGTTTCTCGAATTTGTACATTTTATTGAACCAAAAAGTTGCAATAGTACTCTGAATTTATTGTTTTACACTTTTGCAGATACTCAATCAATAAAATACCTTTGAGGTCGCAAAAAACACGTTGCCATGACCTTACCAGCCGATTGAATTGTTTTTGTCTTCTTTAGAGTACTTCCTCCAGCTTCAGTCCATTGTTTGGATTGTGATTTTGTCTCTGGAGTATAGTGGTGGATCCATGTTTCATCAAAAGTTATGAAACGACGCTTATTTCGCTTAAAACGATCAAAACAAGCTGGAGAAATGTACATTCATCCTAAACAAAATTTAACATGTGTTCATAACAGAGATGGAAGTTTCCAAAATACTTAACTTTCTTCTGTTTATACCGAACTTTCCGAACTGTCATCGTATATGGAATTGAAATATTAACGCTAATTTAGTTGAAAAACGAGCCCAAAATGACCGAATATGGATATCCGTTATCAGAAAAAATTGATAATTTAATAATTACATTCATATTTATTTTTTTTTTATATATTGTCCATGAACCTCACTTAGATATGAGTATAACATTTCATTGTGAGTTTACTCCAGTTAAGCATTTCATTGTGATTTTATTTCATACACTGCATTGCTATTATAAAATTCGCATATGTATTTTCCAAATTATTTTTATATAAATACAATATATAATATGTCAAGCAAGTGTTGATACGATCAGCATGACCTATCGAGTGTGATGATTGTTCTACTTTTGATTTAACATCCGAACATGGATGTCAATAAAACAACGAGGTAAGACATAAAAAAAGAACAAAATGTAAATAGGAAACATAAAACTACAGAGAGTTTCTGTGTGTTTCTGACAAGAAACCAGTATTTAAAGTTTTATGTATTTCATTCATAAAATGCAGAAAGTTTTATGAATTTCATTCACAAAATGCAGAAATTCGGACAATGGCAACACATTCATATAATTTATGAATTGTTATCTTTTTTGTGTATGCGGGTTACCGTACGAAGTTAACCCATATTGGTAAATTTTGGTAAGAAGATGTGTCTCAAATGAAAACTCAACATACAAAATTATAGCCAATTTGATTGAAAAGCGTGTTCAAACTCCACAAAAAGACAAATAATGAAGAGTACCGTTATGTGGGGGTAATCGTAAAAAGTGGATCTATATCGATATTTTTTGGTAGGGATATTTGCTACCCAATGGGAGCTCAAAGTAACAAATTACAGTCAATATCGTTTAAAATGTCGAAAATACAGAATATTTGAGACTGCCGTTATATAAGGCCTATACCAAACCGTGGACCGTTATAACCCATTTGTAGTGCCAAACATCCAAGGAGTAATAACAATCTATGTGCAAATTTGCAAAGCTCTATCATAAATATAGCGTGCTCTATTGTGATTTCAACAGACAGACGGACATGTGTAAATCGGCATAGAATTTTATTCTGATCGGGAATCGGGAATATATATACTTGATGGGGTCTCCCTTGAATATTTCGAGGTGTTTGCAAATGGAATGACAAATTTAATATACAATCTACATTTTGGAGGAGGATAGGTAGAAAAGCGAAAATCGAACATAAACATATTAAAAATTTTAAAATAACTAATTTTGATCCCTTGGTGATGACTTTAGATGTCTTTTATGGTTTAATATTTATAACTATTATGACTTACTCCTTTTTGAATAGATAATATGGATGTAATTGATTGAAAACACAACAAAGACCTTCATCCAGCAGAACTTCGCGAAACAAATCAGTGCACGTTTCTTCAATATCGCCAAATTTACAATAAACTATCATTTCTTCACATGACTGGGCATTCTAAAAGTGAATGTATAAATTCAAATTATTTTAAAAAAATATTAAAAATCCACTTTTGGAACCATGAAATATTAGGCTTAGAATAACATTTCCTACAGATCCAACTACTACTAATGCCTTATATTATTTTCCATGGCTCCAAAGTAATCTAAAAATGTGTTTCCAAATATTTACTTCAACAATAAAAGTAGATAGCAAATCCGATTTAGAACGTTTGGTAAAATTATGAAATTTTGTATAATTATATTTTTGAAAGCATATCTTCTGCGAATAGGCATATTCGGGTGAATTCCTGAAAAATATAAATACATTACTTGAAGTATGTTATTCTTAAATACGTTATCCATTATCTTAACTTACACTGAAAATTTTTCAACATTGCTACGTTGAATTTGATTCATATTACAAATGGTAACCGTCGGAAAGGGTAGACTTGATATTGGTGTTGGTTTCGAACTTAAACTGATGATAACTGGGGTGTTTTGCCATTTATTGAGAAAATAAATTGCCATGTAAAGGCCACAAATAAAACAAATCAGAAATGATAGCAAATAGTACATTCTGAAATGAGGTGATAATTTAGCGGATTCACACTTTAATTCATTCAATTTTGTTGTTTGGCGTAATACCTCTCCCAAATACTACGTTCCGAATCGGCAACATATTTTAAGCCATTCAGGGCCGTCTCCAGTAGAAATCGTTTTAAATTAATTCTCAAATACATGTGAATTGGTAATTTTTCAATATATTTTCTTTCATTATGATTCACTTTGAAATTGCGACCCGATATCATTTGACTTGAAACTGATGTTAATCAAACGACTTAATTTATTGTATAACTGATATCCTTTAGTTCAGATGCCATTTTATTTGAAAACATTTATTGTTATAGTTAAGGATCCTAATTATTATAAGTAAATGATAATGGATATAAATTAATGAACATTTACAAAAAAAATTATATATATTTAATTACAATCTAAACGATTGATACTTTAATTATATATGTAACATGAAGAATTGTCACGTGAATTGTCCATTTAGGCAGACCAATTCAATTTAATAAATTGATTTAGACTCAACATAATTATATGCCTTTTTAAGAGGACGTTTTGGTTATAACAATTAACAAGGCATTGTAGGTTGATGAAGATTTCATGGATGGCCCGTCATTAAATTTCAAACTAGACGAACTAGAGACAATTAATGAAAAAAGGAAAGATAAATAATTCGGCTGGGGTTAATTCGAGGCAAAATAAAACACGATATGAAAATATATCTTCAGTCTAGATAGACTATGCTAATGACAGCACACGAATCCTAAAATATTATATAATAATTCAAATATTATATGAATAGTGTTGGGAAATGTTGTCAATGTCCAGATTTCAGCATTTTATGAATGCAATTAAACACTGGTTTCTTGTTAGAGACAGAGAGAAAAAACAACTATGTTGGGTTTTCTATGGTACATAAGCTTTCTGTAGTTTTGAAGTTGCTCGTTACAACACTTGCATGTCATATTATATCTGGTATTTATATTGAAATAATTTCAAAATAGTAATCGCTTTGTATTCGAACAATATACAAAATATTTACATTTCATAATGTAGCTGTCACGTATTTGTAAGAAAGTTAAAAAGCAATAAGGCATTGGTTTTTATTCTATGTGAGGTACATGGACAATATGAATGGAATTATGAAAATATTAATTCTGCGTCATTCATTGTTTTAAATTCGGTTGGGCTTGTTATTCGTATGAACACTTGTTTGATGTATTGTATTTAGAATTTACATCGAAATAATTTGGAAAATACATATGCGAATTTTGTAACACCAAAGCAGATGTCGATAAGAGTACCTGATATAAAGAAACAATGGAATGCAAAACTAGTCACAACCGAGTGAGTGGAAAGTTGATGCTTGTTTGCAAAAGAAACAGAGGAGGGAAGAGGAGGAGAACGATACCAAAAAAAAATAGCCGAACAAGGAGTGATTGTTGTGGTGATGTTGTTGTTTTTTTCTTGGGAGGAATACGTTTGTTTTTGCCAAAAGAGAGAGAGAAAAGCGCAAATTGTTGTAAAGTATAGCGAATTAGGAAACTAGTTGGGATAGTAATATATTGGATTTCCCATGTTTATATGAATTCAAATTGCCTCAAGGAGGTCATATACATATGTTGACGAACCTTTAGTGTAGGATGGCTAGAATGATGAAACCAAAGTTCAATCACCGAAATGTGCGGTCAAATGTGTAGGTTCTGCACACTGTTGACGCCATTACATCAGGGATACTTGCTACAATGTGCGGTGCCGTTAATAAGGAATACAATCTAGGAATTAAGCTCCATTTACACGAAGCAATTCGTCAGAAACGCATATAATTGTGGAAAATCTAATTGTAACTTGGCCCCCGCCGACCCTTTTTTCCTAAAACTGAAGACGCTGATAAAAAGGAAGCGTTTTGCTCAATGAATACAAACTATATATATTATCCGCAGATGGTTGTACCGATAGATTTCTCGTAAAGTATCGATCAAAAAATTTCAGATTTATGCTTGTTGGAAGGGTGACATTTCTCCGTCAAAAAATATTTTGCTGTCTTTTGTTTGGTGCATTCAGTTGTGACTTACAAGATGTTAAAAATGGAACAACAAAGAGAAACGTTGGGAACTTGGTTGGGAAGTTTTAATGCATCCGCCATACAGCGATTATCATATTTTTCTTGCATTGCGAAATTTCTTTATTTATAAAGGCTTGTGAAAATCGACTACTGGGTTTTTTTTTTGCAAATAGAGAGCAGGATTTCTATGAAAGAGGCATTATGAAGTTACTTTAATATAACAACAATTCATACAACAAAACCGTACATATTTGGCCCAAATCCGACATTCCAAATCATGTTAAAAAAGGTCCTACAATTCATATAAAAATAATGGTTAAATTTTCTTTTCAAAAAGTATGAAAAATCTCCGAACAAACTATTTACAAAATACAATGGTCCCGAAAAAATTGAAGTATTTCGGAAGTCCACCTCGTGTTGGTGCAAAGTATCGATAATACAGTGAACGAACTAGGGCACACAAAAAATTGTATCATTTAAGAGCTTTACATTATACCATAGATAATACCAGGTCGACGTACTACGTTTATGCCTTCAACACGTTTAACAAATATAGACATCAACTTCATTCCAAAAAATCTCTATATATATAAAAATTACGTGTATGTTCGTGATCGCTAACCTCAAAAACTACTGCACCGATTAGGACCAAATTGTATATACATGCTCTATGGGGCGTGAGGAGTGTTTCTGTGAAGTTTGAAGTTCATCCGAAAGATGTCGCAATATTTAGTATTTTTGGGCGTGATAAGTGTTTCTGTTTAATTTTAAGTTCGTCCGACAGATGGCGCGATATATAGTTTCTTTGTGTTTTGCCCGATTAGAGATTGAGTGCTTAATCGACGTGTGCCGTCGTAAAGTATTCCGACACCGATTCATACATAACCTGTTTTCGTGAAAAGCGCGTAAAATTATTTTTTTTTACAAAAATTATGAAAGTGATTTGAATCCCTTTTTTCAGTTATCTGTAATTGAAGTGGGAAGGTTTTTATGAATAAAAATTTTGAGAAAAAACGCATCTTTAAGGAACGGGGCCGATTTATGATACTATACCGACAATTTACAGTTTCTATACCCTACATGAAATACCGAATTAAAGGCAATTTATAGGGTATTTGTTACTACTTTCAAATTACCTAAAATCGGACTATGCCAAAATATGGGCCGAAGATAAAGCCAATTTGCCTACGTTATAAAACCAACCCATGGCACAGATCCACATGATATCTGAATCGTTGTCTGAAACTTGAACGTCTTCTAAATAGGAAACGAAACCAGCTTTATTTGTGATAAAATGTCAATACATATACATACGTTGTTATGTCCATGAAAAATATTCAATACCTATACAATTTAGCTAGCTATGGAAGATATTATTGAAAATTTTCTTATATTCGGAAAGTATATATGGGCAATATTGCCAATTTTTTAATATTCCATTTTCAAAAACTAAGCTTTTTTGTTTTTGTGGCACATCAATGATTTTTGGTACACATATAGAGAAAAATTTGCTGACTCCGAAACCGTTCGCGATCAAATTTTTGGTCGATGCGCGCAAAAGTTATCGAGGTTTTAATTTTGGGCATAAGAAAAAAATCTTAAAATTACGCCGTTTATTATATTGACCTAAACGTTGATATATATCTTCCTCCGTAAAATAACAATGTGAATATATTATAATAATCGCGAAAAAGTTGCACATCTTCGCGAAATATGAGAAAAATAATAAAAATATAGGAGACTACGTCAATATTTTCACTATATTTATGACATACACACACCTAAAAATTAATTTTAAAATATCTACATAATCTAAACACCATGGTAAATCAAATTATATCAAAATCACACGAGTCCGTGTAGCGGTTTCTAAAACAAAGCGACAACAAACCAAGATATTGAGGAAAAATATTTGTTTTTGGTTCGAAAAAATAATGTCATCATATTTATTTTTTACCGAATTTTACCCGAATTTCGCCAAAAAATTTACATATATAATAATCACTTTTTGTGTACAAGCATACGCCTTGCGGATTATATCAAGACCCTTCCGATAAATCTTAAGGTTCTAACAATAGGAATAAATCTTAAAATAAAATAATATTATGAAATATACATTTTAAATTGCGTCTAAATCGCGTAATTCTCAAAATCATTTGATGCGCATGCAGTTTCCAAGAAGTACTGAAGTTTATCTTCCAATCCATATATATTTTCATATATATTAATTTCATTTGACGGCTAAGATGTGCCACACGTTGCATTGAAGTACCCAAAAAATCGTAAAACACGAATAATTTCCGAAAACTTCATACGCCATTAACGCGCATCCGATTTCGGTGTGCACCCTAAAAAAATACATCGATCTATACCGATTTCAATGTGGTCCATTAAGAACCATGGATGTGCCACACTATTTTTGAGATAAATTGGGTACATCTCTCTTTCGGTACATCTCTCTTTCGGCTGAATTTTTTAAAGTTCTCATTTCGAAAAAGATCAAAATCTGTATGAGGTCATTTATTGAAGCGGAAATGATCCACAGAAAACCCAAATAAATCCGCGATATTTTCAAAAACATTTTTGGCAAATTCTAGTAGATGTAGATGGATTTTCACGAAGAAGATTTTATATCATCCGAAACGTAAAAAACGTTATTGATCGCGGGTACCCATATCATTCAGTTGACAGATCTAAAAATTTGGCCTGAAAAATAGGTTTTTTAGAAATTTGATCGCACAAAATTTTCACCATCGGATGAGTATTACTCTGAAGCTGTGCATACTACATACACAAAACACATATCAAATTACGCAGATTCGCGACTACAATAATCTTATAATCGATTTTTAGAAATTCCTGTTTGCGTATTAAAACTAGAAGTTAAATTAAAAAAACACTCAAAATCGAGCTTCAAAATGTCAGCATCATTTAAAGGTAGATGCAGTTAAAATTTTGAAAAATGATACATAAGGGGCGTAGTCCCCATTTTGTTGGCTTCTAGTTTTACTTTGAGACGAAGACCGTGAAATGAGTGGATTAATCACAAATCGATAGAGAACATATAAAAACTGGTTCGCCTCAACCTGTTTTTACACATTTTTTTACATTAAAGTAGACACAGCTTCCACCAAAATAAAGTTTGGAGGTCAATAACATGAGCAGTTTGCAACGACATATCAATTAACCCAAAACTATTCCCTTTTATTCATATACTTCAGTAACTCCCGAGTTATAAAGGGGTGAACCTCCGCTTCAGCTATGTTAAAAAATTGGCAATATTGCCCATATATACATTCGAATCCTACATGGAGACGATTGCGCATTAGATACTCTATGTGTCTAATTTATATGTACCTTTATTGTTCCTCAAATATATTTTTAATTTGAGACACATTTTTGTAAGATTGTTTTTAATTGCAGTGGGAAAAGTTGAGAAAAACATAAAAAAGTCGAAGATTGGAGTAATCAAGTGTTGTGTTACTTACACCTTTTATAACTCAAGAACTTCTGCACCAATTATGATTCAAAGGACTTATGAATCTTATGTGATCAAAATAGGAAAAGTAATTACGCTAAATTATCTTTTGAGATAAGAGTAGTTAGATGACCTTCTCCTGAAAAATGTTTGGTGAAATAAGTTTGATCAATTGACAAACTGAAATACCACACATGCTGACATAATTTAATATTTTACAATAACAATATTCGTTATGAGGAAAATATTATGCATGTGAACATTTGACGTACTTTTTGGTAAATAGTTTCTGAAATATATTTTCCATGAATTCGTTAATTTTTACCAACTCTATATTGATGCAATTCTGATAAGGCAAAACGTTTGCCGGGTCTGCTAGTATATGGAAAATTACAAAATTCTTTTAAAATGCCATAAAATAAAATTTGAAAAATTTTTTTGCGACCACATTCATGATTTTTGGTACATAGGTTTACAAAATCATGCAATTCGTGTATTAGTTGAAATCGGTTGATGCGCATGCGGTTTTCGTATAAACCGAATCAATGTCTTTCAATAATTATGAATTTTTCGATGTTTAATTTAGCGGTCAAAGTGTGCCGGTTGATGCACTTTACTATGCAAAAACCCTAAAAATGGCTAAAAATCGCGCAACGTGCATACGATTTTTATGCGCATCCGATTTCAGTAATCTCCTATGAAAATCCACAAAAGGACACCTATTTTAAAAGGATCGGTTAAGAACCGCCGATGTGCCTCCACAATCGTTTTTGGACAAAATGCGCATATTATTCGCGAATCGATATATTTTTGACCTATTTCCACACAGATTCGCGAATATGATAACACAAGCATCAATGTATGTAAAATCAATTCGAGGAAAAATGCGATTATATACGCGAATTTGTCAAAATAAGTTTTTGCAGTTTTTCCCACATTCAAGGTACCTATATCCGCCGTTTTATTGGGCGGAATTGAACATGGATGGCCTCATTAGATCCGGCACGTAAATAAACTAAAATCACGCGGGATTCCACGGAATTTGAATGGACTTTCTTAATTTTAGACTTAAAAAATATGTTTTTTATAAAAATTTACGCAACAAATTTTCGTCTTTGGAACCCAATTGCAAAGAAGCTACGGTGATCATGAGATATACACTAAACGAAGCAAAATCACGAGTTCTATTATCCTATAATTAGTTTATTCCATTATCTGGATGCGCATCATAATTATAAGAAAAATTCAAAAAACACGGAAAATCCGGCTTCAAAATGTCAGCATCCATTTTGGGTGGATCCATTGATTATATCGAAAAATCATACATTAGAATCATATTTTCCATGGGGTATTCTGCAACTTAGTCACTGATCACATGTGCGTGCGTCGTGTAGTTTAGCCACAAATCAGGAACGAACACAAAAAACTAGTTGGCTTCAACACATTTTCACCCATTTTTTTACATTACCACCATCACAGCTTCCACGCAACTTATTATTTATTACCAATATTTTAAGATTTTGACAAGAACACTTCATTTTATAGAAATGAATTTAAATTATATGCAATATGTTCCTATTTCGCGAGTTATAACCTTGCAAACTTCAGCTTCAAGGAATTTAATAGATTTTTGTAATTTCCCATATATATAAGTAAACACAACTTTCTATTACGCTTATGTAAATGACTTACCTTTGTTTGAATAAGAAAAATGGATGTATTTGATTGAAGACACAGCACAGGCCTTCATCCAATAAAACTTCACGGAACAAATCAGTGCAGCTTTCTTCAACATCGCCGAATTTACAATAAACTATCATTTCCGCACATGATTGGGCGTTCTAAAATTATACAACAAAATGGTATTTACATAAGTATTTCGACTTCGGAGCCAAGATTTCACATCGATACTTGCATATCGTCAGCTAAAATGCAAAAAGGCGTAACTATCAAAAAATTGAACATTGACTTTTTGAATGAATATTGTGAATGTCAACAAACTACATGTGTTGACAAAGTTTTACACCTCTGCGGTCAAAAAAGCCGTCAGCCATTTGTTGCTTTGTAATTAATATTAATTTTCGACATTGGGCGTCCCATTCCGAAAATGGGAATAAGATGTGAGGGCTATGCAAGGAGACTATGCAAGGCGCCAACCATCGCTCCCATATAAAACTCCTGCCTTTTTATAGGTTAGGCATCCGTTTGCAATGCACTCCAACCCTACCCGAAACGACATGATACACTTTAAGGGGCCGACACCACGCTTGATCAGCAGACCTAGGGGTCCACCATGAATGAAGTCCTTCGATTTAGTTGAGAGCCAAAACTATTATCAGTACAACGTTAAATACCCAGGTACTGGTCACCCACTGACATTAGCCTCTACCTAGCTTCATAGCCGAAGCTATTACCATTAGAAATAATAATTTCTTTACAATTAAAAAATCACTGGAGGGGGTTAAAAACGAACCGACGATTTGGTTTATCAACATACTCAATGAGTGAAAACTATGCTTCATCGCTGAAGAACAGTTTGTTCGAAAACTGTTGTCCACAGCCTGTTGTTGAACCCATCCACATGGTACATACAAGACCACTTTTGGTACATACAAGAGCTGCTCATATGTACGATATCCTGTCGATAGAAAAGAATGGAATCGTACGAAATTAAATATGTGATCTACATAGATATCTTCACCAAATTAAATTAACCCATACACATACTATACTGTGGAAAATTGCATGTGAATCTGTGAGACTTGGCTTCTTTAGCGTACAATTTGTATGAAATCAAGAAAAATTGTCTATGGGACAATTAGAAAGTTGTAGTACAGTGCGATTTAAAAAAAACTTAACACATATCATTCTATATACATAAATTTGGATGAAAATATATAAGAGAATTATTTCTAAATCTCACCCGATTTTAACATATCTTTACGCCAATCATTCTCTCCGTCTGTCAAATTTCGTGTAAATTGAACAAACATAGGCTCTTTGGTGCACCATTCATATAAAATCGGACGGTCTTAACGAAACTCAGCGTAGGTCATTCTTGACTAAATTGGATACGCTGTGCACAATTTCATGTAAATCGAAAGAAATATAAGGGCATTGGTGCCCCATTTATATATGGAAGCTACATCTAAATCTGCACCGATTTGCATAACAGAACTTCTTCATCGGGAATAATACGAAGATATGGAAGATATACATTATTTTATATTCTACATGTTGTGTACACTGATACCTTTCGGAAATTATTGGTCAATGCTTAGGCAATCAAATGTACCATACGCTTGTGTTGTTTCTGTCTGCCTCACCGCTAAATTTTACAGAGGGAAGGGAATCTTGTCAAATAATAAGTATGGCTGTTTTGACGAAGATTGGCTAATTTTCAGTGAATCAAATACAGCAAGAATTTATAAAATTGGCTTATTTACTGCGGAAAAACATGGGCGGAACGTTGCCGGTGTATAAAAGATAAATAAATGACCTTTAATCTCATATTAATTATACCCTTCACCACACTGTGGTACAGGGTATTATGTCTTTGTGCATATGTTTGTAACAGGCAAAAGGAATCGAGATAGACCCATGGTTCTTTTTGAGAATATGCATAGAATCACATTCTCAGTATTTATTCGCATTCGCATTTATGATCCGAATTGGATGAAATTTGTAGGGATTGATGTTAGTCGGTTTAGATATCGATAAAGATCACATATTTAAGTTTGTTCAATTTCATGTCAATGTTGCTTCGAAAAGGCAACGTCTTTTAGAATACATACGTAGAATATACCCAAAGTGGTGAAGGGTATCATATAGTCGGCCCAGTCCGACTTTACTACTTTCCTTACTGGTTTTATTCATGTAATAGGTCAAGAGGAGGAGTAATATCGTTTTTTCAGATTCGCAGAGTTAAATGTGTGTAGAGTTAAATGTGTGTCCCCGTCCGGCTTTCCTTTTCTGCTTACATGTTGCATACCAAAAAATAGAATTATTTGACTTCTGCTGAATAATTGTTAAAATGAGAGTTACTTTGTCGACAAATAACAAGTATTTCTCCCTACGATCCACTAAAAATTTTGGATATATTCGCAAAGTTTTTATTGATCACCAAAAGCTTAAAATAAAAGTCATACAATAGTTATTAAACAATTTATTTGTCAACACGCAAAAATGACATTAATTTGTGAAATATGCAACAAAAACCAAGTTCAAATGTGATTTTATTTTTTAATTTCCGTTGTTTTAGTTTGATATTTTTTCATATCGTCCATATTCCAGACCATGACACGGTTGTTAATTGGTTTGCGGGGTTTTATCAAATAACGCGGGTGACGTTTATCCAATGGAGTGTCCTTTAATGAAATCAAATATAATTAGTACAACATAAAATTTAAATCCATATTATAAATGACCAATATTATTTAAATGTCGAAGCTTACTATGTTCTCTTTAGAATTTATTTCTCTCTCGTCCTCTTCAGTTAGTATTTCTGGCTGTCGTGGCGGATTTATATCGAAAAATATTTTCAGAAATCCAAAGTAGAAAACTTCACCGACACATATAACACTGAAGCCTACCATTAAACTCATAATGCCACCAGTTTGAGCTATATTGAAAATAAAATTATATAGATATATTTTAAATATTATAAATTTCTTAAAATCCCAAAGAAAGCATTTATTCATGATGAACCCAAAAAAATTTCATTCTCAATCTGTGCGCCTTAATTTTAAAGGAAAATAATCCACCTGATGTTGAGGACATTATAATTGAATGAGCCCATCATATTTCCAAATTTTTTACTCACACAAAAACTCCGTTAACCCCGTGTACGGTGCCTTCGTATAGCCACGAATATTATTGGTTTTATAGAAAAATGTCACAATGGCCAAATTATTTTTCATATCTTCCAGGGTGCGATTGTGAAAAAATGTATCCGGTAAATGATAGAAATCATGTTGCGTAAACAGCGATGTAAACATATCTGGCGAATGAGTTATTTCATGACAACCCGATAAACAGTCACTTTTACATTTATCCACATTTGAAACGGACATTAACAATTCTCCCCGTCCAACACATTCCATATACTTGAGAGAGCAGATCGTTACATTCGGCCGAATAATTGGTAAATAGTATGGTAAACATCCACACATCGCATATATCATTTCAGCATCACATTCCTGTATGCAATTGTGACGGGTGTAGTAATGAAAAAATTTCAAAACTTTTTCATCGCTAAAATAGCACTGTCTATTCTTTGGCGATACTTGACGCAGTGTTGGCGCAGCTTCAGTTATTTTCGTTTGAATTCGTACACGAGTTTGTCTACCAATAGCTATGGGTAATCCATACTCTTTGATGTAGGGCGTATCGACGGGATTGTAGAGCATCATCTAGTTTGCGATACAGGAAATCAATCAAGGTTATTATGATAGGTAAGTGGGATGTGTATCATGTATATACCTTAAAACCAGCACCATTTGTCGATGAGCAATAATAATTATTTATGTCAGCATTGAGCACCAGTCTCAAGCCTTTCGATGATCCAGGGCCTTTTAGTTGAATATTATAAATTATATTACTGTGTATTTTTTTATTTAAATAAATTGTTTTACCTGGTGTTTTCCTGGGAAAAAATCTTTTGGGTAAGAAATCTTTTCCGTAGCCCTCCTCGAATGTCCATTTAACAGGCAATGTAGTTCGACCGTTTGAGTTAGTAAAATCTCGTATAAATCGGAATCTGATTAATTATAAACACATTTATTGTAAAATAAAGGAAGGTATATGGAATTACTTTTCAGCCAAGATCGTTATGAGTCTAAAATTTACCTATAAAAAGCTTATTTTTTGAGTACTAAAATAAACATATATACATTTTTCGGAAAATATACACTAAGATTCTGAAATTCGGTTTATAATTTAGTACCATGAAGTTAAAACATGCCAAATCGTATTTCGAGTAAAAAATAAAATCCCATTAAATTTTTTTATTTTTATACCCTACACAACTATGTAGTCAGGGTAGTATACCTATCGTCATATCTCGACCAGCTGAGTCGATCTAGACATGTGCATGTAGGATGGGTTCTGGTCAATGTTTTTTTTTTTTTTTTTTTTTTTTTGGAAAAGATCGGTTAATATTTAGGGGATGAAATGGACCAAATACTAAATTTTTGGCGGTTTTTCTGGTCGCTCCAGAGGCCGCAATAATGACCCGAACAGCGTGATCGCTTTGAAATGTTCCATGAGGTTCCAGTTATGACAACGGCTATAATTTTCGGTGATGATCAGATAATAATTTTGGAATGAAGTGGGCCGAAAACTTAATTTTTTTGTGTTATTTTCGAGTCGATCTATAGACCACAAATGAAAGCCGAACATCACAACACAACCCACGGTGAAGGGAATCTGGACAATAGATGGACTTAATACTCGTAATATTCGGAAAATATGTCAGTGTGAGGAAGAGGTTCTGTTTACCTCTAATCGGGCAAGAGGGTGCAAATATCACGAAATATTGCCCAGGCTTGGAATAAACATCCGCAGAAAATTTGAGTTCCGTGGTAGTTGTGTAGGGTATCGTATTGTCGGTCCCGTCCGACTATACTGCTCCGCTCACTGGTTTCATTTATTTTTTTTTTGCATAAACGTACTGCCATGTGTTGCTTGCATTGATTTGCAAAACAAAACCAGTAAGGAAAGTAGTAAAGTCGGACGGGGCCGACTATATGATACCCTTCACCACTATGGGTATATTAAACAGGACTATTAGAATGAAATTGGATGAAATAAAATATGTGATATTTATCTAAATGTGAATCTACCTAGATATATCCATAAAGTATGTAAATCGACTTCAAACAAATATAAATAGGTCATCCGTTGGGCTATGTCTGTACTTCTAGAAAACGCATCTATAGAATTTTATGCTCAATTTTGTACGATGTGCAAACTTTGATGTCAATCTGACTAACATGGGGAGTTTGATGCCCAATTTACTTGAAATCGGGCGAAAATATATATGGTGCGTCAATTACTTAAAATCAATCTATAATAAAAAGGGCTATATCTATCTAAATCTGGAACGATTTTCACGAAACTTGGCAGACAACATTCTAGACCTAAATGGTTAGGCTGTACCAAATTTCGCGCAAATCGAAAGATATATAGGGACTTTGGGGCACCATTTACATGAAATCGGACGAAACTATATATGGGAGATATATCTAAATCAGGACCGATTTTCATGAAACTTGGCAGACATCATTCTAGGCTCAATTAAGTACGTTATGCCAAATTTCGTGCAAATCGAAGGATATATAGGGACTTTGGGGCACCATTTACATGAAATCGGACGAAACTATATATGGGAGCTATATCTAAATCTAGACCGATTTTCTCGAAAGTTGGCAGACATCGTTCTAGGCTCTATTCAGTACGTTATGCCAAATTTCGTGCAAATCGTAATATATATAGGGACTTTGGGGCACCATTTACATGAAATCGGACGAAACTATATATGGGAGCTATATCTAAATCTGGACCGATTTTTACGAAACTTGGCAGACATCATTCTAGACCTAAATGATTAGGCTGTACCAAATTTCGTGCAAATCGAAAGATACATAGGGACCGTTTACATTAAATCGGTTAAATATATATATGGGAGCTATATTTAAATCTGAACCGATTTTTCCCAATTTCAATAGGGTTCGTCCTTGGGCCGAATAAGTGACCTATGCCAAATTTCATCCAATTCGGATCATAAATGCGACCTGTACTTTGTTTACAATTTAACATGGACAGACAGACGGACAGACGGACGGACGGACATGCATAAATCGACTTAGAAAGTGATTCTATGTATATTCTCAAAAGGAACCATGGGTCTATCTCGATTATTTTTGCCTGTTACAAACATATGCACAAAGACATAATACCCTGTACCACAGTGTGGTGAAGGGTATAAAAATTAAACTCGTACTTTCATTCGTTGAATTTAGCCATTGTTAAAACACTCTTGTGCGCTGGTACATGTCTTGGTGAAAAATTATCATTATGAATTTCTTGTCCCGATTTTGTATGTAAATATTTAATTACTAATTTTTCAATTGTAAAAAAATTGCGAATGCGTCATTTATGAACACCTGTTTCTATATGAAGGAGTTGCCAGATCGAAACAAAATTACACATGGTTTCATAACAAAAAAAAAAGATAAAAGTTTCCAAAACACTTAACTGCTTTCTGTTTGTACTAGGCTAAGAAGTTTCCGAACTGTCTTAATGTAACGTTTTTACAGCCCAACAGTTGGGAATTTTTGAAAGGCATTTCTTGAAAGTATCATTTCGATTAATTCAATTCTAAGTGGTAGGGCTAAATTTGTTTGCCTGAAATCTTTCCACGATATAATACTGACTTGACACGATATAATACTGATGTTTAATTTAGATTTGTATAAAAATACTAATTTTTATTGACCCCTGGTTTGGTCCTTAATTATTCGTTGACATTTTAACGAGTAATTACTTGTCACTTGTTTTGCCGCCTCCTTTAAGCATCAAGGAGTATCAATCTGTCAGTCGGACAGACAACCACGCAATATCGTTTGCACACAGGCATATCGTTGCCAAAGGTAATATCGTTTACCACCAAAGAACCAAATAAACTATTGAATTATTACTAAGAAAACTATTGTGTTTTTCTTTTATTATCATTCTACTTTTACGGCTATACGTACACCCCCTACGATCCACTGCTCCACGCATTCGGCGTTCTGACTCCATTGGCGGAGCCCCTCTGAGCTAAACAACTCACTTGACACGATATAATTCTATAACAATTACACTGTGCAACACGATTTTCGGAAAATCTGGTGAAACTATTATATAGAAGCTATATCAAAACCTTAAGCTCGAAAATCATGTTTTTTAGCTATACCTCTATTGCCATTATTCACACTCAATTATTGCCAATTGGGTAAAAAATGAAGTCATAATCCACAAAATACGGATAATGTGTCAACCAATGTGAATTTAAAATAACAAACAGCAGCCATTGGGAGGTAATGATATATTAGGTTGGGGAAAATAAATCCATAATTTGTATATGAACTAGAGGTCTTTATTTAACATACTTCAGAATGTCCGATTTGGGTGCAAACATGCACCATTTTGTTGTATGATTTGTTGTCATTTCAAATGTAACTTCATAATGCGACAACTTCAAATCGACAACTAGATACCAATTTTTTTTTATCATCGCTTGGTGCGAAATCCGAATCTAAAACTTCCCAACCACGCTCCCGAAGTTTCTGGCGAGTCACCGTAGATGTGTGTGATCTACCGTTGTCCTGATGGAACACGACACCTCTCCTATTGGCCATTCTGGACGTTTCTAGTCAATAGTAAACGGTCCAGTTGTTGACAGTAGATATCAGAATTTTGGTTTGACCATATGGAAGCAACTCATAAAAAATAATCCCGAGAAAGCCACTATTGTTTCTTAAATATGTAAAAGTTTCATTAATATCAAAACTATTTTCTGTATTTCTCAAAAAAAAAACAACACTTTTCACTGTTCGGCAGTGCTTTGTTTTGAAATATATATTCCGCCTCTGCCCTCACTTGGTGGTTGTAAGTTTTTTAACCGTGTGTTTGGCAATTGTTCCTCCTTCTAATAAACTCCGTGTCTCCACTTACTCGATTGGGGTTAATTTAGCATTGTTTGTTTATTTAAGACACTGCATGACTATTATAAAATTCGCATGTATATTTTCCAAATTATTTCGATATGAATACCAAATATAAGTGTTGATATGAACAATATGACCTACCGAGTGTTTAACATTGTTGCATGTGATGATTGTTCTAATTGTGATTTAAGAAACGAACATAGATACCAATACGACAACGAGCCATAACAGATAGTTTCTGTGCCATAGAAAACCCACGAACATCCAGACACGGTGCAACAATTTTCCTTCCTTCTGACAAGAATCCAGTATTTTTGTATGTATGAATTTTATTCGTAAAATTCAGAAATTCGGACAAGTTCAACACACTCTGAACCTTACTCATATAGTTTACTATACCGAAAAATGAAGAATGCCGTTATATGGGGCCTATCCTAAATAGTGAACCCATATCGATCATTTTTGTATTTGCTACCCAGTGGGAGCTCAAAGTACCAAATTACAGTCAATATCGTTTAAAATTTCGTAAATATGGAATATTTGAGGGTGCCGTTATATGAGGCCTACACCAAACCGTGGACCGTTATAACCCATTTATAGTGCAAAACATCCTAGGAGTAATAACAATCTATGTGCAACTTTGCAAAGCCCTGTCATAAATATAGCGAGCTCTATTGTGATTTCAACAGACAGACGGACATGCGTAAATCGGAATAGAATTTTATTCTGATCGGGAATATATATACTTGATGGGGTCTCCGTTGAATATTTGCAAATATTTGCAAATGAAATGACATATTTTATATACAATCTACCTTTTGGAGGAGGGTAGGTAGAAAAACGAAAATCGAACATAAAACAATTAAAAATTTTAAAATAACTAATTCTTATAATTAAAGCGAAGTAAAAGTTGATCCCTTGGGTGATGTCTTTAGATGTCTTTTATGGTTTAATATTTATAACTATTATGACTTACTCCTCTTTGAATAGATAATATGGATATAATTAATTGAAAACACAACAAAGACCTTCATCCAGCAGAACTTCGCGAAACAAATCGGAGCATGTTTCTTCAATATCTCCAAATTTACAATAAACTATCATTTCTTCACATGATTGGGCATTCTAAAAGTGAATATAAATTCGAATTAATTAAAAAAAAAATTAAAAATCCACTTTTGGAGTCATGAACTATGAGGCTTAGAATAACATTTCCTACAGATCCAACTACTACTAATGCCTTATATTATTTTCCATGACTCCAAAGTAATCTAAAAATATGTTTCCAAATATTAACTTCAACAATAAATGTAGATAGCAAATCCGATTTAGAACGTTTGGTAAAATTATGAAATTTTGTATAATTATATTTTTGAAAGCATATCTTTTGGGAATAGGCATATTCGGGTGAATCCCTAAAAAACAGATACATTAATTGAAGTATGTTATTCGTAAATACGTTATCCATTCATTATCGTAACTTACACTGAAAACTTTTCAACATTGCTACGTTGAATTTCATTTTAAATTCGATTAATGTTGCTGTTTTCTACATACCTCTCCCAAATACTACGTTCCGAATCGGCAACATATTTCAAACCATTCAATGCTGTCTCCAATAGAAATCGTTTTAAATTAATTCTCACATACGTGTGTATTGGTAATTTTTCAATATTTTTTCTTTCATTACGATTCACTTTGAAATTGCGACCCGATATCATTTGACTTTAAATTGATGTTAATCACTCCACTTAATTTATTGTAATAACTGATATCTTTTAGTTCAAATGCCATTTTATTTGAAAACATTTATTGTTATGGCTAAGGACTCTAATTAATATCACTAAATGACAATGGCGGTAAATGAATGAGTATTTCCCAAAAAATAATTATATTTTATAGAGATATGGTTTATATAATTAATTACCATCTAAATGTATCAATCATTTAATTATATATGTAACATGAAGAAATTACACGTGAATTGTCCATTTAGGCAGACCAATTCAATTTAATAAATTGATTTAGACTCAACATAATTATATGTCTTTTTAAGAGGACGTTTTGGTTTTAGCAATTAACAAGACATTGTAATTTGATGAATATTTCATGGATGGTCTGTCATTTACTTTCAAACTGGACGAAATAGATAAAATTAATGAACAAAAGTAAAATGGTTAAATAAAATTAATAAAATCTAGGAACATATCGTTTGTATTGGTTTTTAATTTTTCATAATATTTTTTTTTAAATTACGAATTCACTTTGACAATTTTTATGCTCCCGACTACCAATTTTCATATCATTTGACTTAATAACATATAGCAAAATGTTAATCATGTCTCAACTTAATTTTTTGTAATAACTGATATCTAATTTCCTTTTTAGATGCCATTTTATTTGAAAACATTTATTGTTATGGATAAAGATACTAATTAATATCACTTACTTGTAATGACTCTAAATGAATGAGGATTTCCAAATGCTTTTTTAATAAAACAATATATATATATATATTTTATAAAGATAATGTTTATGTAATTAATTACAATCTAAACGATTTGTACTTTAGTTATTTATGTAACATGAAGAAATGTCACGTGAATTGTCGATTTAGAACAAAAAAGGCTAGACCATTAATTAACACACTTTTGTTATATTGCATTTACACTGCAATGCTTTGCCATTCACAATAATTATTTATGATTTTATATAAAGTTATACATAAACAAAACATTTCACAGTATTTAGACAAATATGACAAAAAAGGCATTGTAATTTTACATACCTGCACTAACGTTTTCCATAATTACACATTTTAATTTTTTTCAATTTTGTCAAATTGCTTGAACTTTACTGATTTTTACCGCCAGTTGTACCAAAACAATGTGAAAATTGACTTTTAAAAAAAAAAAATGGTTGATATAAATGTTTTTTTTTTTCTAATATGGGTATCTACATTTAGGAAATCAGTTACAGCTCAAAATATGAAAACAAAAAAAAATTGACTTTATGCCAAAAAATCATACTTTTTGCCCATAGTGCAGTGTTGAACTGAACTAAATTGAGAGTAAGTGTGTAAGAGCGTAACTGGGAGATCATCATCGAAAATGGCTGACGTAAATCGTATGAATACGTGGTCTAGGTTAAGACTATGCTAATGAGAGTATTCGATACCCAGAAAAAAAAACAATTTATATATTACGAGGGCGGTTCGGAAACTTCTTAAAAAAATATTTTTGTTTTTCAGTATAATCTCCTGAAACTTCAACACACTTAGACCAACGCTTTTCTAGCAATTCTATCCTTTGCTAAAAATAGTTTTCCTCAATGTCTTCAAAACAGGGGTTTAAAACTGTAATTGCATCTTCATTTGAAGTAAAACGCTTGTCAGCAAGGAATTTTTTAGATTTGGGAACAATTAAAAGTCACTGGGAGCTGAATCAGGAATCAAGACAACACACCAGCGCACAATAGTGTTTTAACAATGGCCAAAATTAACGAATTGTGCGCTAATACTTGTCTTGATGAAAAAGTATGTTCTTTTGTCTCTGGAGTATAGTGATGCATCCAAATCTCCCAAACAAGCTTGAGAAATGTTCATTCGTATGCGTTTTTGATCGACTGTTAACAAATGCGGCACCCATCTTGCAGAAAGCTTTTTCATCTGTAGTTCTTCATGCTAAAATTAAATGCACTCGATCATTTAAGATGCCCATGATATTAGCAATTTCACGCACTTTTATTCGTCGATCAGTTAATGCCATATCATGCACTTTGGTTACAATTTCTGTTGTTATTGCTGTTTTTGGACGTCCACTACGTGGTTCATTTTCGATGCTTGTTCTGTTTATACCGCGCTTTTTGTGCTACGCTAAGAAGTTTCCTAACTGCATTATATCTGGTATTTCAATCGAAATAATTTGGAAAACACATATACGAATTTTATAATAGTAATGCAATTTCTGAAATAAACAATGAAATGATAAACTAACCACAATCGAGCAAGTAGACAGACAGACTTTTTTAGCAAACAATCAACCAGTGAGGTGGAATTATGAAAATATTCATTAAATTTTTTCTGCGTAACGTATGTTAGATTTTCTCACTTCTGTTAGTACACCTGTCTGTTATATATTTTGGTTATATCTGCCATTTTTGATTGTCAGTTTGTGTTGACAGTTAGTAGTGTTTTTTAGTAATATTCAAAAAACGTTATCGAAAATAATCGGTTTAAGGAAAACTGAGAAGATGTCAACAGGTTAGGTTGAAAAGGTTAGGTTGAAAAGGTTAGGTTGAAAAGGTTAGGTATTACAACATGTCCAACATGGGACATACACATAAGCCAATTGACGCCTTTTGTGCGCTCTAGAAATGCGGAGAAAGTTAGAATTAGTGAAATTTTAAATTAAAAAAGTTGGGTTTGATTCCCCTATGAATCTAGGAATTCTGTGTTCAGATCGGTTAGTCCGTGAAAAGTGCCATTTCCGAAGAATTGTTTCCGAAGGCATGGCACAGGAAATGTACCAGCGTTTCACTGTCTTCCCCACACACCCTGCACATGTTGCTGCCTTCGCATCCAATCTTGAGTAGATGTACCTTCAGGCTGAGGTGTCCCGTAAGAATACCCGTCAGTCGGATATTTCTTTTTGTTTGGCGTTAGGATTTGTTTAGTTTTGTCTTCATTTGGGTCACCCCATTTTCCCAAAGGGTTTTGTGGGTCTCATTCGCCCATTCCCTCATTTCTTGGCGTGACTCGGTTACCATATAATTCGTACATGTCGTTGTTGTGAGAAATCATTAATGGTATTTATACATTCTAGTACAGTTATTGATTTAACTTTTTTGGAAGATATTGCCTTTGTAGCATGTTTGCTATCCGTAATTATATTTATTGTATTTTGTCCTTGTTTTGAGCTTAACACTCTCTTATAGCTTGAACCTCCGCCTTTTGAATCGTGCTGTGATCTGTAAGGCGAAGAGTAATTTCGGTACCCGGTTCTTCTATAAAAAGTCGCAGTCCAGTTTTTCCCCCTAGTCGAGAGCCATCTGTGTAGCAACAGTTACCGGCCGGCATCTGTACTACTGTTCCATTATTCCATTGTTCTCTATCTGGTATTATAGTTTCGCACCGTGTTACTTCTCTCGTTTGAGGTATGCGGTCTAAATCAAAGTTATTGATTGTTGACTCAGTAGTTGCCTGTAATATGTTTTTGTGCGGTATGATGTGACCTGTGTCTATACACTCGTCCATTGCTTTAAGTCTTAAAGCGATAACCGCCGCTTCACATTTTATTTGGATGTATATATAATATTTTCCCCCAAAGCCCTACTTGGTGTTGTACGCATTGCCCCACATATACCTAGGCAACACGTTCTCTGAACTTTCTGCAACGCTTTTACACATACAGCAAACGGCTGACAAGGCCCATATATGCTGGTCTTTCTGTAGAAGAGCCATAGGCTCTAAATGGGGCTTCAATCTTAAGATGATACACTTCATCTATAAGAGCGTTATTAGATCATTTCTAACATACGCGTTTGTGCTCTGTTGGACAGCAATGGATAACAAATGTAACGTAAAAGCTCGTCAACAACTTATGAAAACATTGGAGCAGAGAAGAAAATGATTTTGGATAATCGTCGACAGGTTGCTGTCAATCAAGGTTGTTTCAAAACTGCTATAATTTGATAAAAACCAAAGTCGACAATCCACACTGAAAAAATGCATATTTTATATGAATAGTGTTCAGAATGTGTTTCCAACGTCAGGATTTCTGCCTTTTATGAATGCAATTCATAAAACTTTAAATACTGGTTTCTTATCAGAGAGAGAGAGGGTGAAAAAACAACATCGGATTGTGTGTCTTTGGTATTGGTGTCGTATTTCTATGGCAGTGTTGGGCAAAATTAAATTGAGAGCAAGTGTGTGTCTGAAAATTAACCATTAATTTTTCTGTTTCCTCGACCCTCAGTTTATGTTTTCTTCTGGCACAGAAGCTCTGTGTCGTTTTAATTTTTTCTATTTTCTTTTATGTTTTCTTCTTCTTTCTTCTTGTTTCTTCTTATCTATGTTCTGGGTCATTAGAACATTCATTTGCAATGCTTAACATTCCGTTGGGCTTGTGTTCATACGAATAAACACTTGTTTAATGTATTGTATTTAGCATTTACATCGAAATAATTTGGAAAATACATATGTGAATTTTGTAGCACCAAAACAGATGTCGACAAGAGTGCCTGAAATAAGGAAACAATGAAATGCAAAACAACTCGCAAAAAACAAAGCACAACCGAACAATGAAAGGTGGTTATGATGGTGTTGTTTTTTTCTTGGGAGGAATACATTTGTTATTGTCAAAAGAGAGAGAGAGAGAGAGGAAAAAGAGCTCAAATAGTGGTAAAGTATAGCGAATTAAGAAACAGTTGCGATAGTAATGAAATGTTTACATTTTTTTGGAAATAAATATTGGTTTTTCATATTTATAAGAATTCATCAGATTGCCTCGAGGAGGTTATATCTGTTGACGAATCATAAGTGTATGATGGCTAGGATGATGAAACCAAAGCCCAATCACCGAAATTTGCGGTCAAATGTGTAGGTTTTGCAGACGCCATTGCATCATGGATGCTTGCTACAATGAGCGGTGGGGTTAATAAGGAATACAATCTAGGAATTAAGTTCCATTTACACGAAGCAATTCGTCAGAACCGCATAGAATTGTGGAAAATCTCATTGTAACTTGGCCCCCGCCGACCTTTTTTATTTTTCCTAAAACTGAAGCGTTTTGCTACGATAAAAGAAAAACCGAAACATGAGCTGGTGGTGCCCTTATGGCTGTACTGATACATTTCTCGTAAAGTATCGATCAAACAATTTCAGATTTATGCTCATTGGAAGGGTAACATTCGCAGTAAAAAAAAATTATTTTGCTGTTTTTTGTTTGGTGCATTCAGTTGTGAGTTACAAAGGCGAAATGCAAGTCATGCGGCTAAAATTGTGATGGTGTTTATGGTTCCGATCAATGTGCAATTTTGATTTCGTAGATTCTGTTCAGAAGTTTTTGATGTTAAAGATGCACAGTTAGGCCGGTGGTCGAAAATGTCGATAAAACCGGAGAAATGATCGAGAAATGCCTTTAAATTGCAACAAATCGTACAAGGGTATGAACCCTTGACCCAAATCTGACATTCCGAAACATGTTAAATAAAGTCCTATAGTTCAATAAAAATAAAGGATTTCTTTTTTTCCCAACCTAATATATAAATCAACACAAGTTTCTATTATGTTTACGTAAAATACTTACTTTCCTTTAACTAAGAAAAATGGATGCAATTGGTTGAAGATACAGCACAGGCCTTCATCCAATTGAACTTCACGGAACAAATCAGTGCAGTTTTCTTCAACATCGCCGAATTTACAATAAACTATCATTTCCGCACATGATTGGGCGTTCTAAAATTAAATGAAAAAAAATTGTATTTACATACATGTTTGGACTTCGAATGCAAGATTTCATATCGAAACTCCCACACCTAACTTTAATATTTCTCATTACTCACATCGATATGAAAATAAGTCATAGTATCCTTTTCAGAACGTGGCGTGAAATTTTGGAACCTTGTATAATCATATTTTTGAGAGCATATTTTTTGTCTATAGGCATACTCGGGTGAATCTCTGTAACAAAAAAGATAACAGGTTTCATTACTCGATATTGTTTTTTTCTTATTGTAGTAACACTTACACTTCAATATTTTCAACTTTACTACGTTTCAAGCTATTCATATTACAAATTGTCACCGATGGAAAGGGTAAATTTTCAATTGGTGTTGGTTGGGAACTTAAACTGATGATAACGGGCGTATTTTGCCATTTATTGAGAAAATAAATTGCCATGTAAAGGCCACAAATGAAACAAATCAGAAATGAAATCAAATAATACAGCCTGGAAAAGCACAAACGAACACAATATTTGGGGATTAATTTCTGGGGATTTTTTTTTCACTTTTTGTTTCATTTTCAATGTCAATACCTTTCCCAAATACTACGTTCCGAATCGGCAACATATTTCAAACCATTTAATGCTGTCTCCAATAGAAAACGTTTTAAATTAATTCTCAAATACATTTGCAATGGTAATCGTTCAATATTTTCTTTTACATTTTTATTCACTTTTTCCGATTTGTGGGGAGATTTCATTTTACTTGTATTTAGATGTTTATCACACTACTGAATTAGTTAAAGTAAATGATTTATACTCGATAAGGTGGCCTTATATTTGAAAAAATGTCCCTGTATGAGTTACAGTTCGTAATTAGTGTAAGGGATGTACACGTTTTAGTAACCAAATAATAATTAATTATGTTATGTAGTAATTCGTTCTAATCGATTACTACGTCTATGTAAACGATTGACAAGTGCATCCTTTCAATGGAAAAAATTAAAAATTTTTAATTAACTAAAAGGGACCACCACCCCGTGAACCATTTGTTGCTTTGTAATTAATATTAATTTCCGACATTGGGTGTCCCATTCCGAAAATGCCAACGGCATTCGAAAGAGTCATGTCTGGCTCTGGTATGAACTAGGATTATTAACATAGTTTGGCCACAAACCAAGTTAGAAAATAAGGAAGACCTTGACCGATTGCATTTGTCCCAGTCCATTCGATGGGTATGTGTGTACAGAATAAAATGTTAAAATTTGGACCCAATTGGATTGATAGTTTTTGAGCTGTCGCTATAAATCTGCTACATCTTCAAGAGTTCTTAAAACATTCACTTAAAAGTTTAAAGGGATATTCTCATAGATGTCGTGCTCTAAATAAAACTGTAACTGTGATAATCGCTTGGTGCCAAGTCCGGACTGTATGGCGGATGCATTAAAACTTTACAATCAAGTTCGAAGTTGTTTCTGGCGAGTGACTGTGGATGTGTGTGGCCTAGCGTTGTCCTTGTAGAACACAACACCGCACCTTTTGGCCAATTCTGGTCGTTTCTGGTCAATTTCTATCTTCAAACGGTCCAGTTGTTGACAATAGAGATCAGAATTTTGCGTTTGGTCATATGGAAGCAACTCATAAAAAATAATAATCCCCTTCCAGTCCGACCAAATGCATAGCAGAACCTTTCTGGACGTTAGTCCTGCTTTGGCCACCGTTTAAGGTGCTTCAAAAGATCGGAAAATGGATTTGTACTCGAAAATAAGTGCTTATATTAAAAACATTTACTTGCAAGTGTTATGGTTCTTAATTAATTTAAGGAGTTAATTATATGAAGTGTTGAACGAATGGTCATTTAATCGATTACTATGTTTGCAACTAAGAAGTAAACCAAAGCCACTATCATGCTTTCAACTCCGTATTTCATAATATTTTTCCTGTTCCCAAAACTTCTGGGGGAGGTACTAGAAGAAGTGGACCGAATTTGACATCTTCGATCTTAACATAAGCCAGAGGGAAGAACGACCATTTGTAAATCGACTCGAATTGTGTGAAGCAGATTTGGTCTAAATCCAACATTTTAATAGTAGCATAGTGTTTATACCCTCATTGGCCATAAGGCTAAGGGTATACAAATCGTACTTCAACTTATGCTGAAGTAACTTTCCGATATCACCTGAATTTATGCCACACCTACACTAAACAATTTTTTTTTTTATTTTAAACAATTATATATTCCAATACTGATTACAAATATATCTACTATAGATAAACAAATTTAAATGTGATTTTTTGCAATATGTTAAAATGTTATTGTGTGAAACTTACCAATAATGTTGTGGGCTGCATTCTGAAAATAAAAAAATATATATAAACGTTAGTACAAAACATATAAGATTTTTTTTTTTTATTTTTTATATCAAAGTTGGGTCGAACATTTATAAATTTGGAGTATAAAATTCATCTTCGTAATAACTGCAATTTTAATACATACGACCTAATATGCCTGATGAACTTAGGAAACCTGGGTTAGGAATTGAACAAATTCTGAAAAGAAGATTTTTATACCCTTCACCACACTGTGGTACAGGGCATTATGTCTTTGTGCATATGTTTGTAACAGACAAAAGGAAACGAGATAGACACATGGTTCCTTTTGAGAATAGGCATAGAATCACTTTTTAAGTCGATTTATGCATGTCCGTCCGTCCGTCTGTCTGTCCTATTAAATTGTAAACAAAGTACAGGTCGCATTTATTATCCGATTTGGATGAAATTTGGCACAGCTCACTTATTTGGCCCAAGGACGAACCCTATTGAAATTGGGAAAAATCGGTTCAGATTTAGATATAGCTCCCATGTAAATGGTGTACCAAAGTCCCTATATATCTTTTGATTTGCACGAAATTTGGCATACAGTAATGAATTAGGTCTTGAATGATGTGTGTTAATCAGTCCAAATTTAGATATAGCTCCCATATATAATTTCGTCCGATTTAATGTAAATGTTGCACCAAAGTCCCTATATATCTTTCGATTTGCACGAAATTTGGTATAGCGTAATGAAGTAGTTCTAGATTGATGTGTGGATTCAGTGTAGAAACATGTGTGTTAAATTTCTTGAAAATCGGTTCAGATTTAGATATAGCTCCTATAAATTTTTTCTTACGAGTGTATGTAAATTGTGCACTAAAGACCTAAAGTTTGTCTGATTACCACACAATTTGGTACAATGAACTGTAGTTAATATAAGTTAATCTCTGACAAGTCTCATTGAAATGGGTTCACGTTATATATATATATATATGCTATATCTATAGCAACTCTATATCTGACCAAATGAAAAATTTAGTATAGGTTGCAGAATGGCATGTTTATGGATCCATTTTCGTGTTTATGGGCCTTCAACGTCCGTTAGGATTTATCTGTTGAATATACCCAAAGTGGCGAAAGGTATCATATAGTCGGCCCCGTCCGACTTTACTACATAGATAGTTTTCATTTTCAAGAACACGGAATACAAAATTACAGCCATTTCGGTGGAAAATTGCGGATAAATCCATCAATGCATAAAACAAGTAAAAACGATGTAAAATTCGGCCCGACCGAACTTTTTATACCCTTCACCATGAGGATGAAATGGGGAATATCGATCCAGACAAATCGATTTGAACTAAAATTTGCACAACCTATAATTTTTACCAAGCTTAGATCAAGACCGAAGATGAGACCCCCTGGTCCACTCCTTCTGATACCTCCCCAACAATGCGTCAACATTTTCAATATTAATACATCCCACATCAAGCGAATGGAATGTCCGATTTCAACCAACCTTTGCATAACCTATACTCTTTATCAAAACCAGATCAAGTCCTAAGGTTGCACCTATTGGTCCACTCCTTCTGGCACCACCTCCACAATGGGTCACAATGTTCAATATTTATAAATCCCACAACAGGCGAATGGAATGTCCGATTTGGACCAAACTATGCACAACCTCTAATCTTTAACAAAGCCCATATCAAGTACGAACATGCGTTTGTAGGAGAGATTGCAGTATAACTTTCACTGGCCCAAGATCACCAGTTAAAGTATGAAAGTACCTCTCGGAGCCCTTCAACACCGAACGGGGGTTCAGAGAAGGTGACAACCTATCGTGTGAACTATTTAAGATACTGCTCGAAAAGGTCATACGAAGTGAAAAGGTTATCGATATGCCAAACAGCACACTTTACTCTCCTACGCCGATGGCATCGACATTATAGGTCGAGAATTGCGAGCAGTAACTGTCACCTTTGTCTGTCACCAGGAGTCTGCCAACGTGGGTCTGGCAGAAAATGGCGAGATGACCAAGCTGAAAGTATCAAAGTGCAAGACGTTCAGTTGACTCGGACCAACTAAAAAATTGGTCTCCAACAGTTGGAGATTTTGTAAGGGGAAGGGGACGTTTAAGGAGTTCTATGCAAAGATCAAGTGGTAGAAAATATTTAGAAACGTTTTTCAAATTGGAAAACTGCCCACAAGATCGAAATCTTTTTTAAGTTCGTCTTATGCAATATATGTGCAGTCATAAGAGGTATGTATGTGCCTGATAATAAAGAATTAATAGAAGTCCATACAATGATATTGACACACATGGTATCCGAAATAACCCGGCAACATTTCATTTTTTTTAATTACCACTAATCACTCAGGTTGGATTTTGAAAATCTTAAATAACCCATAGAAGACCTTCTAGCCAAATATACAAATTTTATAGGGTATTGTAGATATAGAAGATCAATATAGGGTCTTCTTGCCATAGAAGACCTTTAAAGACCTGCTAACTATAAAATAATTTCTTATAGCATCGGTCTTCTATATAGACATAGAAGACCTTTAACGGGTCATCTAGATATAGTAGATCTGTATGGAGGCTTAGACCCTTTATAGGGTCTTCCAGCTATATAAGGCTATTGTGTACCTGTATAAGGGTTATCAGCTAGAATCCCCACATACATAGATTCTTTTACCATCAAAAGGATATATATTCAACATATAAAAGTATCAACAATTATAGTTAACATATTTTCTTACAAAAAATTCAAAACAAAAAACTACATTTTTATTTCCCTCCTTGACTACACTTCCTCTTCACAGGTTTCTTTGGTGGCAATTTCTCTGCATATAACTTCATGCGCTTTTCAATTTCCGGACGAAAATGTCGAATCAAACATTGCGGAGGCCAAGCGGCACCATCACCAAATGCACATATTGTATGACCTTCAATTTCTTTCGATATTTCGTAGAGCATATCAATTTCAGCCGGTTCGGCATTTCCCGTTACAAAACGATTAATAATTTTTGACATCCATGGGGTACTAGACATGGGATACTAGAATGATAACAACAGACGGACATGTGTAAATCGTCATATTCATTCGTTATAGGCTCGGAAATGATTATTTTAATGATTAACAAACGAAAAAGCGAACTTACTATGGTTGAACCTCCGAACCTCCACACTATGGTGTAGGAAAAATTGCTCTATTTTACTAAACTAAAGTTGTTTCCGAATGACAATATATCCGAACCAGATAATCGTCAATGTAATCGATTTTTATATTTTCCTGTCTGTTGAAATTTTGACACATACATTGTTACTATTTTTAGGTGTAGCACCTAATTTTGATATTTTGAAGCGTTCCATTGCATTTTCTGAGCGAGCGTATCATGGGTTCTTGGAAGATAAAATATTTGTTTTCGGCATATTTAAAGC